GTAAAGGTAAAATACTTTAAAATGAGAGTTTACCAAAAAGAGATCAATGTAAACAATAGGAAAAAAAACATGCTGTTCATTTGCATTTCAGATATTTCTCTGCTTCCTGCTGAAASTGAGAGCTTTTTACCAGTACCCTAACATGACATATGAAACTGAGACACAGAGTGTTGAAAATAAATTTTAAACAGGGAGGAAATGCTTAGCAAATAGACAGGTTTATCTGTGTGATGGAATTTGTCTGTGAAAGTGGACAATGTATTCCGATTAAAGAATTAAGGAAGTTAGCATATACCTGTGACCTCAGAAAAATCATCTCAGACTACCTAAACAACTTTAACATGTTCACATTGAAAATAATGTTTTTGTAAACTGCTTATGAAGCATGTACCACAGCTACATGATTTAAAATTTATTTTCTTTTAGAGGTTCCTTCTCAAAAAATTGAGTGATGAAATTTCAAAAAATTTCTTAGTGTACTTCAAAAAATTGCTACAAGTGAGAACTGGATAAAAACAGATATCAGATATCCAAACTAATCTTTAAAAAAGAATGTTTTATGCACTCATTCTTGCTTTGAAATTACCTCAGACTTACTTGTCCTTTATTTTTACTTTCATGAGAGAACCAATAGTCATGCTTTCTGGAAGATGCATTTGGGAAGTACTGTACCAGATGTTCCCACACTAAATCAGTACAAACTCTGAGTCTTTACTGGTGATATAAAACAAGGAAATGTGGTTACATTCGGTATGTATTCTTTTACTCTAAAAATGTGACATGCTAATAAAGACTTTTTAAATTTAATAGAAATGGGAAATTTGATCGGAAAAAATTACTCAGAAAGCAGTTTAGTCATACTGAAGTTGCTGTAACTTACACAAGTGTGGAGGATGCTGTGTCGTCTAGTGGTTGGAAAAACAGATGAAGCCATTAGAGTTGGGCTTCATTTCTCATCTTGTCACTGCATAGATTAACCTCTGTGCTTTAGCTTCCATATCTGCAGAGAGAGAATAAGGCTRTGATTTTTCGTGCAGTTCAACTTACTGTTATTAGAAGTAGAAAATCCACTTGTGTTGATTGTACTGTCCTGCCCATCTCTCTTACCCTTCTCCAATTTTACAGAGCATAAAGGATCTGCCAGGAAGGAACAAAAATAATTTTGCTAGTTTAGTTATTGTACCCATACAGGAAACAGATTCCTAGAAAACTCCGTAAAATGTAACTCTTCTAATCTTTTATCATCACAACTTGCTAGGTTAAATAAAATGCTGTTATAAAATATTTTGTAATAATTTTATGAAGAAGGAAAACCAATTTCAACATAAAGCCACTAGAAGTAGCAAAAAGAAATAAAGGCTTATGTTTCTGCTTTTCTACAGAGCTAAAATAAAAAAAGGAAATAAATCAAGMAACTGAACTCCAAGATAAATAGGTGGCAGCACATGGCAGTTGGCATAGGGTGTTGTCCCTCCCCAGGGTTCAGGAGCCGAATAAACCATTATTTCAGCAGAGGGCACCAGAACAACAGAGTACATTGCAGTGACTTTGACTTTGCCTATTGAGGAAGTGTTACAACTCTTGATATCCCTGCAAGTGGGTCCRCACTCTTATCATGCAGTGATCTCATGTATCTTATAATTCTCCAGTATTTATTTATTTACTTATTTATTTTGTTCATTTTTAGAACAAAGATTTTGCTGAAAGGCACTGRAAGCTTTAGGATTAAAGCAAATCAAGCAATTGCTGTGTAAGCAGGATATACTACAGAGTACCATGCGACCCTATGGTACATACTACTAAGTCAAGTTATAGCATCCTTAGAAGATGTCAGTAAGTGGGTCAAGAAGGATAAAAAGATGACACAGCTGAGTGACACTTCTAATGAGGAATTTTCAGAGGGAGGTTTCTTTTCTTCCCTGCCCTTCCTTTCTCACAGCAACTGGGCATGTTTATATAGATTTTAATTCTTAGTAGCCTGAAAATGCAAATGTTAATAACCATAGTGATACTCTGCACATCTGTTATGCATTACATCAGAGAACTGAAAAACGTTTTACAATATTTTTAACAAATTGATAGGATTTGATGAATTATATATTATTATCTAGCTTGTCTAAATGAATGGCTTAGAGACAAACATCCCTGRAGTAATATTAATTTACAATTATGTTCTTCATGTCATTCTGGCTTGTCTTGTATAAATAAAGTTATGTCTAGTATTTTGAAACTGAGGTAGGGATCATGCATTTCCACAATGGACAGCTTTATTGTTGTCATCATCTTATCATTTATGAATAAGCATATAATTAGCTATGAAAGTTGTATCTGAATTAAATGGGCTTTCATGATATTCAACACATTCTTTAATGAATCTTGGTTTCTTTTTCCATGATTATGTTGGATGGATATTCTTCAATATGTTGTCTGTTAGATTTTATTATAAGTGCAGGAATTTTAGGTCTTTGGATGTGTATGGGCAAACRTATAGAATTGTGAATGAGAGTCTCCTGCTTTTTTTTTYYTTTTTTTTTCTATCCTTTATTTCATATGACACATGCTGTGTGAAATACCAAGCACATTTTATAAAATGCATGCAATCAGTTGGAATAATTTTCATTCTGATGTAATAGGTTTCAAAATGAACACTTATCCATTATCAGCAGTCTTACAGGTCATGAAGGTAGCCAAAATAGTAAACCAAAAGGTAGCCAATGCATTAAAGATCTTTCTGAAGAAGACTATTTAGTTACCAAACTAACATTAAGCTTGTAAATTGTAGTATAAAAATTGTTTGATACAATTTTACAAATACTCTGATACTTTAATGTGGGATTTGCGGCAATAARACAAGGCTTTTAGATGTAGAAAAAGGCAGCTTGACATAAGTGAGGCCTACCTAGCTTAGCATGAGTAGCAGAACTTTGGATGACCCAGAGAGAAGCAGCAACCACCTGGAAGAATTCTAGCTGGAGGGTCTCATGAAGGAGGAACCAGAATCAGGTGTACTGCCTAGGAATGCAAGGACAAATGGTCGTGCAGGATGCTTGTTATCAGTAGAGTCAAAACCGCAAAMGTATCTATGCCAAATTATGGGAATGACTGTACATTCTACAAAATGATATAAAAGAGCGATGATTTCAATAAAGCTTTGGCATTAGCAGCATTCATATTGGATGCGTATGCTTTGTCCATTTCTTCGCCAGTGCCACAACACTTTAATTAATCCTACAAACTAATACAGAGATTCATTTCTAACGCATAGTTTCAAGAACATCTTTAGGCTGGCCACAGATATGAACTGTGCCTATACTAGCCTCTTTTGTAAGAGAAAAAGAAGTGGAAATTGAGTCACTACGTAGAATCAAAAATAATACAACTTTAAGGCCATACAAGAAAGAGCCATGCAAGTAGCTGGAAATAAATGACAGCAGAATTATTGCTAAGCTGAAATGAGGTAAGAATACAGCAGTCCCAAATTGCAAAGAGCAAATGCTTTTTTTTCTTTTTTTCTTTTTTTCTTTTTTTTTTTTTTCTCCTTCCTTTATCTGACAAATCAGTCTATCTTATAGGAAGAAATAGCTGTTTCCTCTTTGAATTTTGACCATTTCCACTACCTTTCTGTGTTGGATAAGTGAGAAAGTATACATTAAAACAAGCTAAAAATCTAGTAGGATCAGTTCTCGAGAAAACAAGTAATAAACCTATCTACAAGCTTCTGAACATTTTAAATCCAGAATAATGAGTTGGAAGATGTGACTCTGATGGAAGTCTAAAATGGGTCTTGAGATTTAAAGATTGACTGGAAATGGTACTAAAACACTGGAGATGGTAACAGAATTAAATGCCTATTAATTAATAATTAATATGATTAAATTTAATAGCTATGAAGTGGCTGTAGTATTCAGGTTGGAATATTTAAAAACAGACTGAACAAAATACCTGAATGATRTTTTGTGTACAATCTGACAGATCTGGAAATAATAAAATGTACTTAAACCTTAGCCATTTGTAGTACCTGTGAATTTTACCAAAGACTRTTGGGAACACTTACCATTTTAGCTCCATCTGCAGGCTTCTCCACTGGAAAGGATAAGTAGCTTCAGCATGTTTCACATTTCCAAAATAACATACAGGACAGGAACTCTAAAGTCAGTTAAAAAAAAGTTTTGATTTCAAGTAAGATGAGGTTCATATTTCCAATTGATACAAGATAATGTCAGAAGATACTGCTTAGTAGTACTGCTAAATAGATAAAAGTATGGCTTTTTAATAAACTATCCTGCAACTTACCATTTGGTTATATGAAAGACTGTGCTTCGGGACAAACCACCATACATATTTGCACAGTCTTTAAGAACTTGTGGTCTTAATGTTTCACTGTGGCATCATACTAAGTACTAGGATGACAATATAATATTAAAAAAAATGGTATCAAAATGTGATCATACCTAATTACTTAATCTATCTCACTTTAATACTTATGATTAAATAACTCCTAGAGATATATTTAATTGCATAATGATGGTTGAGGCTTCAGATGCGTACAAGCATAGATTATGCTAAATTACTGCTCTCTGTAAGGCAGACTTCTAAATCTTATCTGTTAATGTCTTTAAAATAAGACAGCTGTAATGCTTAAGTTTCACACTTCCATGTTAAACTTTCCCCATTTGCACTTCCTTTGTAACTCACAGCAAGACTTGCTAATGCTGAGGGATGGGGGCTATTCACAAAGGTTTGTGTCCCTCCATTTTCTAGACAACAGAGGAGAGACCAAGAGAGGGCTAATGGGTAATTCAGAGCACCAATTTAGGCSCTAGGTGACAATTTCATTTAGAAATGAACCTCCAAAGTTAAAGGTGGCCTTTGTAAAAATGTTCCTTAAATTTCGGGGTGTTAGTTGGTCACAGACTCCAGTTGTCTGTGAAACCAGGTATGAGAATTAATTTAATAGCTTTTCTTAATACTGTTTTATTGAAACACTGATCTTTCGGAAGCATTCAGCTATGATGTTTAGGTGGAGAAACCTAAATAATGGCAACGTTTTCTTTAGTAAAAGCAATAAAAACTACAAGTTTACCTACTCTSGCTCCATTGCTTGTAAAGTTAACATAAAAAACAAAAAAGCCCACAACCAATACATGAGTCAGAAGTGACAGCTGAGGATTAAACTTCCTCTGTGTGAACTTTCCCTTTTGCCTAGGAGTCTAACTCTGCTTTTCATCTCAGGGTTTCTGCCTGCATGTCATGATTCAGCTCCTTTCACAGGTTGCTGTCTCAAGCTCTCCTGGCTCTGGACCTGGTTATTTCTAGCCTTACGCTGTGCTGTGTCAATGGTATCTCAAGGTCACAGAGTCTTCTGCTGCTTGGATGCTGTGCTGATAACACAGTGCATGTTCGGTACAGTATTATAAGTACCGGAAAGCATTTGGAAACGCAGTGATTCCACATCGACTATCCTGCACAGGTCTTTACTGGAAGGATTAATACTTCTAAACCTCTCACTTTGTYAAATAAAGAGAAAAAAAAATCACGTATTTCTACAATAAATTACAGGGAGAAAAACAAAAATGTCTATTGCTGCCTTTGAAAGCAGCGAAGCACCAACAYGTAGGGAAGCTGTACAAAACAAATAGTGTGCACTCTCCTGCTGAACCTGACTGCTCCAAACCCCTGAGTGTTGATCCCACATAACCAACTGCAGTTACAACTGCCTCTAGCTGGACCTATAAATAATTAAATAACTAGGAGAGCGTTGGGGAGCAGTTGAAATGCTCTGTTTGTCAAATTTGTGAATATTTTTTTTTCACAAATAGCTTAGCACTTTACACATCAGTTCATAAAACGGAATCAAACTCATGCCATGTTGTATTATGTTGATATGCGTTGGTTAGCTCTCTGGGGCACTTCCAAGGCCTGCAACAGTCAAGAAACCTTAACTAAGAGCAATGTAAAGTGATTAATACTCAAAAAAAGCCTTAAAATTTCCATTAAAAAAAGAAAAATAAAAAGAAATTTCTAGTGTCCCCACTCTGCAAGACCCAGACTCGCTTGCTAGGTCCCCCAATACCTTACCTTTAGTCTAGGTGGTAAGCAAGCTAAAGACATGCTGCCAGAAAGGGAAAAGCCCAAGAGGACCCCTTTCCCATCTACTTTATGCGGTGAGGCAGTATTTAGTCATTTTTCTGTTATTTTTTAAACTAATACATACATAAAATAAATATATATGTGTATACACAAATAAATAGGGCGTGTGAGGGGGCGGGCAGAGAGCGCTCCGCTGGTCAAAATGGCGGCGGGGTGGGGCGCGAGGGGCGACATTTGGCGCGGCACCGCCCCGGCCGTGACGCAGCCGCTTTTGGCCGGTCGYGCGGGAGCAGGAAGGGGCGGGCGGACGGGCGAGGCGGTGCCGGCAGGGAGGGAGGAGGGCGGCGCAAGCCGGCGGAGCACAAGATGGCCCCTGCTGCCGCGGTGGTGGTGGAGGGGCGGCGGGCGGCCGCGGAGCCCCGGGGCYGGCGCGTGTGGGAGGCGCAGGGCGCAGCGGCGGCCGCCATCCCTGTGTGGCGCAGCTGAGGGGGGCCCGAGGCGGCTGCGGGGAGCCTGGCCCGTGTGGTGAGTGCGGCGCAGGGCCCGGGGCGCGGGGAACAATGGCCGCCCCTCTGCTTCTCCTCCGCCCCCGCGGGGGGCGCCGCGCTGGGCCGCGGCTGCGGCCAGGCTCCATTTCGTGAGGGAGCGGAGCGGGCAGGGAGGCGCCGCGGCCCCGCAGGGCGGCCGGCTTTTGTGCATGCGGCCTCTGCCGAGCACGGCCCTTGGTGGGGCTTGCGGGGCGCCGGCGGTGGGGGGGAATAGGAATAAAGCAGAAAACTAAGGCGAGGGCGGCGGGGCGGCCCCGGGGACCTTTTGTGCGGCCCGGCTGCCGCCCTCGCGGCTGCTGCAGGTGCGRGGCCGGGTTCGTCGCCGAAAGCCGTGAGGTACTTTTTCTCGAGTGTTTTTTTTTATTGTTTTTTTTTAATTTTTTTTTTAAACCTTAAAACAACCCTTAAGAAATATTTTTTCCTGGGATCGATAGTGTAGAATTCTTGCTACATGCATGCTAGTCTGTCTTTCTGGGAGTGCCCTTTTTGTTCTTTACTGATTTATTCATTCTAATTTCAGTTAAGTAGCAGTGAGAAAGGAGAGGAAAAAAAAGGTCACAGTCTTTTTCTTTTTTCCCCTTCTCCCGAGTGGTTGTTTTTGGCTTCACTGCGTTTTTATTCTTGGATTGCAAATGGCTGACACCCCCCCCCCCCCTCCTTGCCTGCACCCTTCCCCCAAGAAAGGAAGGGGGGGGGGAAAGGGAAAAGGAGGGAAGGGAAGGTGACCGGGCTGGTGGTGATGCTACCTTAATCGCTGTGACTTTGCTTAGAAGAAAAATGTTGTTGTTAACTTCCGYGTTTATACTATGCTTGTGTCAGCTAGCCCTGGAGAGTTATGAACACTACGAAACAGGGAGATTAATATCATCTGAAAGTGAGTTAAATGAGGATTTTTTTCCCCTCTTCAGGCTCAGAGTGTAGTTTGCAGTTTACCAACCATAAATTTCTGTATTTTATGATTATATAAATAACCGAGTGTTCGTGGGAGGAGTGCGTGCTTTATTGACRGCTTCTAAGCTAGCTCTGCTGATAGAGCTGTAAACCACGACTTTCTTTCGTCCACTAATATGTGGTGTTGATGTGAAATTCTGGTTTCCGCTAACAGAAATAGAAACAAGCTCTATCTGCTAGGTGCTCTTTCTCTTCCCTATGATTGTTGCAGCTCTGCCTGCCCATCCTAGAAAAGATTTTGTCAAAGCAGGCAACTTGACAGATTGGTTTCGGGGATTTCAGAAAGAAGGACTGTCTATTTTGACAACCAGGGGTTTAAGTGGTGCACTTGTCAATCACCAGGAAGCAGGATTAACATTAGTGGAGAGAAGTGAGAAGCTATTTGTGTGTGTGTGATTTTTTTCCAATTTATTTATTTCCAGGTTTGTATCTAAACTAGCTTATTTTAAAGCAAAACATGTTACAAAGTTACAGTGAAATTATTGTAGGCTGGCAGTGATTTTTCAAATCTCGCGTCTGTATGAATCTTTCAAAATGATTTGAAGGATTGAGTTCATATTTCAATGAACAGGTAAGTATGCCAGCACAGGAACTATTATGTTCATATGTTGTGGCTGAATTAAGGACACCTTAGGACATGTATATTATAGGTAGTCACATTTAAAAAGACTTGAACAGAAATTAGCAGGTTGGCCTTCAGAAAACTCTACCATGTTGCCAATGATTGATGCTGGTTTTCATCCAGGTTACTGTCAGTCTAATGGAATCTTCACTTCTGCAATGCTAAATTTAACAAACATATATTTTAAATTTAATACTTTATGTGATTTGGAGGTCTTGTGTCAAATCCGATGGTGTCAGAGACTGTCATACCGCATTTTTTAGAGTCTGCATCTCAAAACAAACCAGTGTTTAATGTTTTAAAATGTTCCTGTTTTATTATGCCTAATAATATGCAATATGATTATGTTTTTGTTTGCTTGCTTTTTTGCTCTTTACTTGAAAATCATAKGGTTTATGTGCCCTCCTTCTTCTGAAGGAACTAGCTGAATTGCCGCTTTCAAATAATCTGAATTGCCAAACTGAATTAAAAGGAAACAATGTGCTTGCGTCCCTGAATCTGTAAGCAACTGCAGAAGGCAGTTGAAGGTACCTTTTAAGCAGACAGTCCTTCATGAGAACTTGGGTTGTGTTAATTTTCTTGCAAGACCTGTTCATTGGTTTAATATTCCACACTAGATTCACTAAATCATTTTACAGATTAAACTGAGTATTTTTTTTACATGTTTTCTTCTCTCAGTGAATAGATAGTGATTTGCTGGAGCATCCCAAATAATATTTCTGGACAAAATATGTGACTCGAAGTACCTGGGAGAGAAGACATGGGGGAAACTGTAGTTGGAAGTTATATGACTGAGATTGAATCCTGTAATGAATATGAAGTCATTATTATATAGGAGTAAAGATATGATATGTTCTTCTGTTACGGAAGGTCAATATATACCATTTTGCACCAGCTGAAATTTCAATGTGACCTTTGAGGTTAGTTTGCTGAGGGCTGTGTTATAGTAATACAGTCTGAAGTCTATATAGTCATGATAACTGGGAAAACAAAAGCAAATATTTGCTTTTGTTATGTTACTTTCCTTTCAGTGTATAAATATTCCACTGTGTGTGCTAAATTATTTTGACACTTTGCTTTTCTCAAGAAGAGCTTAGGGTGATATTATCTTTTGCATCAGTTTCATTTTCTTGGTTACCGGTCTACCAGAAATTGAAATGGCATTAGTTTTCAAAACAGTATCTGATTTCTAATGAAGGGTGTTTTTTCTTATTTGTGGAAATGCGTAATTGAGGGGAAGGTGGAGATGTACTGGCCCTATCAGCTTGTCGTTGTGTGTGGTTTTTCTGACATAAAAAGATGACCTGGTTAGAGCATTTGAGGGAATAGCTTTCATTCCACTATGTGACAAAAACTTCTTGTTTGGTACCAGCTTGTACAGGAACTTGTTTTCGTGCTTTATATATCAAGGTTTATAGATAACTTGCTGCAGAATGATTTTAGCAGGAACAATCCTGGTCACACAGGGCTGAATGTTGGAAATTGCAGAGGAATGTTTCATACAAATGTTTGTCCGAAGACTACTTCCCAATTTTCCCAATACAGTGAGAAAGCAAGTGAGGTCGTTGGAGGTTAGGACAAATTCTGTCAGACAGAAGTGGCTTATTATGCACATCTGCAGCATCTTGCAGCAATGCTGACTTTAAAGAGTTTGCAGTGAGGCTGGCACAATACCAAGAGCTGAGCTTTCTATTACCTTTGAGAAAGTAGCTCTTGGCTCTGGCTCAACCTGGAACTTGGTGTGGGCAAGAAACTGTTGCCTTATGCAAATGAAAAGTCAGTCCATCCTCTGATTAGCAGCATTTCCTCAGTGCTAGCCCTTGATAGCTGCTAAAATCTAAGGACTTCAACATTAATTCGCATGGAAGGACTTGGATGTGCTTTAAAGATTCCTTACTTGAAAGGCTCTGTTCAGCATGCTCTCTTCCAGGAARAGAACAGCATCCCTGGAAGACTAAGGGTCACATGTGGGATGATATAGAAAATGTCCTTGTAGGTAAAGGCAGACAGTCAGTGATACAATAAATACAATATTTTAAAAATCAAAATAAACAAAAAAGGGGAGTTAATAGAATTGCATAGGAAAATCTTCACAAGAGAGATGGTTAGGAGGAGGAGGTGGCAAGAAAACAAGGAATTGCCTTTGCAGAGAGAAGAATTCTGTTTTTTCCTGTCTTACAACGCAAGAGATAGAGGATTATGCGGACAAACTGGAAAGTAATGTTGTAGCTGAAGAAGGGAAATCTTCCATTTGATTCTCACAGATTGTGGCATAGGTTTGAGTGTCATCTGAATTACTCTTTTCTGTGCTTGTTATTTGTTTCAAAGATGGAGCATATTGTGGTAAGGTGCACAGAGAAGTCCCAAAGTTGGCACTTGGAAAACTGGAGAGTTAATTGATAATTATTCATTTCAACTTTGAAGCCCCTAAAACAGCTATGAAGTGACATGTGTTCTGCTTAATGGGCAGACCCCACCAATTTCCTGCAAAAAATTTTGCAGCGTTATTTTCTTGTAATAAAAAAAAGTTTTAGAAATGCTTTATTATAATGTTATTTCCAGATCGTAAGAGTGCATGGAGTTATTGAGGGGGTGGGTGGTACTACAGATATAACATGTATGATGTTCTTGCTTTTCCATGTGCTTTGTTTCTTTGGCAGTCTTCTAGCTCCAGTAACCTATATATATGCTAATGTTGGAGGATCTTGGTCTTGCAGATGGTCTTCTCTCTTTGTTCAAAAGTAAACAAAGAAACCCTGCTTGCTTTCATCCCTTTGTTATGCCAAATTAATGGGTATTTTTAAATGATACTTTTTAAATACTCTAAAAATAGCATGTTAAGATTAGCAGATGAAATTCAGACTTTCCAAACATCACTGTTTTTCAGGATGTATTCCTCTTTATCAGACTTGATCAGATAAACTTTCAGCATGGAGGTGAGATTGGTTTTGAATCTGTTGTTTTCTACAAACTGTTGGTTGATCAGCTGATGGAACAACAGTGCCTTTAGTCTGATCTGGAAGGTGTTTTCAGAGCTTCCTTTTGAAGTAATTTATAGCCATGATTTCAGTTAAAATGATGAGCATGTGGGAAAGTCTGTTATTTCCACTTCTGTTCTCCTTTTTGCTTTGAAAGGAAACCGATCTCTTAATATTTTATGTAATATCACATATAATGATGTATCAAAGGTCTTTAGGGACCTCCAAGCTAATTATTTTTGATAAATTGTCAGGCAGTGTTGGTCTCCAACTTGGAGTTCAGAGCTGCCTTTTGAGGCAAAAGGAGCAAGGTTCAGATATAAGATATAAACCAAAGGAGGGAATTGAAATGTATGCAAAGGACGATGGCTTTGCTTACCTCCTTATTAAAAAATGAATTTCCTTGGAACACTCCCAGTGTTTTGTGGCAGTTAACTTTGTGTGCTGTTTTTAAGGTAAATATTATTTATACTGACTGATTTTTTGTGCCTTTTTTTAGCCGTTATACATGAATTGGTAACTCTTGCATATCTTGTTGCATTGATTTTGTAATCCTCCCCTTCAAAAAGGGAGAGAGAGGACTCTTCTCAGCTGTGTTCTTCTAGTTGTGTATGTGTGTGTTCCTACTTTTTTTTTTTCTTTTTGTTATCAGCTGTCTTTCAGGTACTATTTGATGCTGCGAACTGTGCAAACAAATGAAAGTGTTGAGACTTCCTTATCCAGTGTTTATTGAATCTGGTGGTTGCAGAAGAGCAAGACTGAGGTCTTGAGTGCTCCCTTTTCTTTTCATTACTTCTGTACCAAAAGGGAAGACCTTGAAACTCTCAGTCACTGTACTTAGAAGAGGTAATAGAAAATGCTACTCAATGGTGTACTGTCAGAGTATGGGAGTAGAAGGTTGTAATTAAATGCTGTGACTTGATTTGAARCAGATGAATTTTATTAGCTTACATGGCCCTCTGAACCTGTGAAATGCTGTGTAAACATTATTTTATGACCATTAATAATACTAGCAGTTATGCAGGCTAATGATAATTAAATCTCGTGTTTCTGGGTACAAGCTGTTTTCTAGGAGGAAATTTTCTTCTGCCTTTATAAGTAAGTATTTTATTAATGAAATCTTGCAAAAATTTTTTCTGCTTTTGAATCCAGTGACATGTTCATCTCTGTTCACCAAGTTATCCAATTTAAGATTGCTGTTTCTGTCCATTTTATCAAATCAAGCCTGCTTTTTGTGCCCCAGCCAACTCTTTTGAGAAGTTTGAAGAGATAAAAGGCAAAAGGTTGTCCTGCCTCAGATAGTAAGTGTAGAAGACAGAGTGGCAATATGTGCACACTGCAAAGCAAGTCTCTGGCCACTGAAAAAAGAAGAGAAACAAAACAACAACAACAAAAAAATCTCTTAGTTTGTAACTTAGTTTGGTGGATAGGTATTTCTTGAACTCTTATACGTGGTCCTTGGATAATTGTTTTCAGAACTGCTGTCTGAGGAGCTCAGGTGTTCACAAGTAATGTATCAATTTGACAAATTACCTTATAATAAGCAGTGGAGCCCATTAAACAAATTCAAAGGAATCTTAATAAATAGCTGTCCATTATAATATGGCAAGTGTTATTGATCACCCTAAAAATGAGATTTTCTGAGTTTTTCTTAGCTGTTTCCTTTCGGGGTGTTCTGACTTTGTTCTTTTGTGAACCAGTATACAAATCATCTAGCTAATGCAAGTAGCAGAGATGGCACATGGCCTATTAATTACATTACTGTGATAATTTAGTCTTCTAGAAAGAGCTGTTTGGATAATGGAGCAACCGTAGGACTCTTTGTTCTTGGACTTTGCTGTGGACTGACAAAATGTCACCGCTTCCTCTGGAAGCAGTGAGAAACTGGGGTGTATTGTTCGTGGCAGAGTCCCTCGTGACTACTTTGGCTGATGCTGTCAGTTTGGAGAGGGAAAGATAAATTTAAGTTAGGTTATACTGACTTAGTGGAATGGGTAGTAAGTTAAAGCAGAGGCTACAAGTCAAGACTGTCCTTCCTGTTTATTGGTCGCTTGGTTATTTAATTATGTGAAAAGGCTCCTGTAGAACTAATTAGAAGAGAGGAGTTAGTAATGCTGCAAAAATTCTCTAGCTTAGGTTTGTCTTCTTGAAAAGGCAACTTTTAACGTCAGTCTTTGCTTAACTTTTCACATTCTGGGGATTGCAGTTTGGGCCCACTGTCTCCAGTGCAGATGATGTGGATGTGGGTTTGTGTGTGTGGTGTTTTTTGGTTTTAGGTGTGTGGTGGTTGTTTTTTTTTTTTTTTGTTTGTTTGTTTGTTTTTTGTAAAAGCAAGTTTGAGTTAAGTGGTGGTTCTTGGAATAATGCAGGCTGTTTTAAATGTGTCTGTATTGTTGCCAACTGTTGTTGGATTCCCTATAAAAGATGTGAGCCATCAGGGATGTTTTCTAAACTTGCTAACGCCTTTAAATGTTGCTAGTCTCCTGTATTTGCACTCTGCATTAAAATAAATCATTTTGTGACTGCTATCTGCAGACATCACCCTGAGGATGCCTTTTCTGTGCTGTTTAACTACTGTGTTGTGTTCTGTACAAGGCTTTCTCCTGACTTGAGAAAATCGCTTGCTTAGCATTTCTTCTGTTTTTCTATTCTGAAACTTTTATTCAATTTGTTGGGTTTGAGGGTGCATTTATATTAAGGATCTGCAGGGAGATGAATCAACATCTCCTTTGCATGCTAAATTGGAGAGTAAGGGTTGCTGGTGTGTTTAGAATTTCTTTAACTCTTCCTTCTCTCAGCTTTTTTTTTTTTTTCTAGTGTTAAGTGTATTTATCAATGACAGTGGGCAATTGGGACTACTGGGGATAGCCTTGTTTTGACTTGTTGCGGGAAGCTTTGACTGAAAGCTGTAGCCAGTTTGGTTTCCCCTTCAGTAATGTTGTTTCATATTTTACTGGTGGCTCTGGATTTAAAAGGTCTGTTGAAGTTCAAGAAAAAAATATTATATAAAACTGTGGATCATGTTCTAAATATTGTCTCAGAAGCACACACACCCCCCCCCCCCCAAAAAAAAAAAAAAGCCAAATTCTAGTCGGTGGGCTCCTTTTCACGTAATTGCTGTTTACATGAATTAGACCATCCCCATAGGTACCATATGAAAACTTCACACTAGGGACGTTTATTATAACAACTTTACCTTTACCCGCTGGGATTTTTATAAAAAGCACTTCCACTTAAGCATCATGTTTTGAGGAATGAAGATGAGAAGATGAGGAAAAAGGCTAACATCTGGGTAAGAGAACTCTGATAAGAGACTTGCTACAAAGTAAGAACAGAAAACCAACAAAAACAACAATAATGAAGAACTCTGTAATAGAAAACTTGTTTCTCTTAAATATTACCTGAATTAAGCTGACTTCTCACTCAGCGTTTTTTTTCCAAAATGAGTTCTTGTGATAACATACTTGCCAGAATTTTCATTTCATCGTAATGTGTGTTTTTTTTCTCATTTCTGTAGTGCTTGCAAAAAAGGAAGTAACAAAAATAAGGCTATTCAGATTACACAAATTGTGACAAGCAGCTTTAATATTTTTTAAGTATGTCTTCCTGTACCAGGTGCATCAGAAAAAAAAAATGGTGTGGTGATTTTACATTAAATGTCAAAGTTTCTGCATCATAGCTCAAAACAATATTTTCCTCCTGTTTTTCTGGGTCTGAGGATTTATGCAGCTCCAGCATGCAGTGAGCTGTTGTAAGCTTTTCTGGTCGCTGCTCCTTCAGTGGAACTTTTCAGTCAAATGTTTATTACGAAGCTGTACCGAGGCCAGGGTGGGGATGTCTGTGGGTGTGTTTCTGAAGAGGAATTATATGACAGCAGCCATTTTTATGCAGGTTTTTCAGTTTCCTGACAAACCMTTTGGGCTAGAATAATGTCATCTCTGTGAGTCTGAAGCTTGGGCACAGTGTAGGGTGTTTTGGGACCCACCAGATAGAAGAGATGACACCAGACTGTGTGGTATCCGTAAGAGAAACGGCACTGGGTGATATCTAAGCAGGTAAAGATGTGGCTATCGCATTATAGACACGCTGTGGTGAGGACAGGGTGTGGTGCCTGTATTACTCACATGCATAGTTTCTCTTATGTAAAACTTGAAGGGGAGGGGAAAAAGTAACAAACAAACAAAAAGCACCCTTCTGTTTCTTCCCATGAGTAATACGTGAATTCACATGCTAAACAAAAATGGTAGGACTCCTCTCCTCCGACATGGGGATAGGCAGGAAGGACTGCAAGCTGGCCCTGGTGCTGGCAGTGCCTGGGAGTGCAAAGGAGTGACAGTGATCTTTTTTTTTTTTTCCAGCATGCCATGGTAAATTCTGAAACTGCTAGTGGCTTCATGTAGCTTTCAGGAAGCGAGAATGAAAGGGTTTGCATTGGTGTGACAAGCTGGTGTGTGAGCACTTGTTACAGAATGAAAACTGACAGTAAGTTCCTGGAAAAAAATCGAGTGACTGCCATATTTTTATATATGTATATTTAAATGCTTTGTTCCTGTTGGACTTTGTATAMAAAAATAATTCTAAATTCTACAGGCTTGAGAAGTGATGTATTACAGGTGACTTTGGCTTGCAGTTTTTAAAAATTAACCTATTGAACTGGTTGTGGTTCAGGTTTCTTTGTCTTTAATCATTTTCAGTACCGACGGACCGAGTGGTGAAGTATAGGAACGTGTGAAGGGGTGTTGACTCTGTGGGTGGTTGAGATGGTTTCAGTGCTTCATTTTCAATTCATATGCCGTAGTCAATTTGGGAACCTGCTATTTCATCATGCATTTATACCATATAAGACAGAGGAAATTTAATTGATGGAGTCATGTAAATATTGACTCGAACAGGCTTACTTATCCTGGCTTCTTGTCTGCAGCAGTGCAAGTGTGGTTGGCAGCTGAGCACACACATTTTGCTTTAGCTCTAAAAGGAAGGAATTTTGTAACTACAGACAAGTAGCTCTGTGCAGCATGCATGTGCAGTGCCTGTGTGGTGCTTCGCTTCATTCCCTGGGCGCTGCCTTCTGTCGTGTTGCAGCTGGGGTACGTGAAGGGCAGGGGTGCTTGGAGCCTCTTTGAGGGCTGAGATGGGGTCCCGTTGAAAAGCTCTTGATGGGCTGTGACCACTTCAGGGAAGATTTTTTTAATGTCAGTTAAAACAGCCAAGGGAAATATAAWGATGTTCAACTACAGAACTACTGTCTTTTTAAGGGTCTTCGAATGCACAGTTCTCATAAGTGAGGTCTAATCTTCTGTGAGTCAAGTTGACAATAGTTTATCCTTTGCTTTATGAAAGGTAGACTAGTTCAGCATGCCTTGAAGAATTATGTACTTTTTACTCATTTAGCTTTGGCACGCAGTGCAGAAGTAAATACTCTGTACTTTTTTTATGTACCACTCTGTAATTGATACTTCTAGAATGCTTTTTTAAGATTAATGTATGTTAAGATTTACCATTATAAGATGAGAATGAGAAAATTGTTCTTTGTGGATTACTCCACTGCCAAAAGTTTCGTACTAGGTAAACACTAAATATGAGAGCTTGTTTTCTAAATGACAAAATCATGTGTCTTTAATCGAACCATTTTAAAGAGACTGAAGTACAAGTAGCAAAGGATTTAGCTAATTCATCAATCTGGCAGTGCACTTTTAATAGGTAACTTCCTGGTATTATATTTTACTCATTGGCTTGGATGATTTTCAAGTTATGTAACCTAAACTCTTAAAATTAGGTTTATAATTCAAAACCTCTGTGAACAGGCTAAAGAGGATCTTTTTTCTCTTTCGGTTCACACTCTTGCCAAATATAGTTATAGCTCTTGCCCGTACTGCTCAGAGAATCCATTGGATGTTTGAGTTTGGATCTCAGTATATCCTTTATATGAGACTGCCTCATGTTTTTCTGTATTCAGAAAATCCAGAAACTGAAGCAGTTTTCTCTCTTCATGTTTAGGCTCTGAAAAATGTTTGTTACTGGATAAGAGTAGGTGGTGAATGGAAACCCTGAGACTTGGGCCTTTTGTTTCCATTCACCACAACCACRAGCACTGTTTTTAATGATCATACAAAGTGTTTTTTTAAAGATACCATTTATAAATCTAGGAGGTGAGACTAACACTAAAGTAGCATTTAAAAAAAATTATCCTTGTAGTTGAAGGTTATGTGAAAAATCTCATTCTGAGCGAGTGCCTCACCCCAGGCTATTTCTGGCCTATAGAATTGCTCTTTTTAGCACTTCTACAAATTGAATCACTAGGTGCCGGTAGCATTTAAAGCAAATGAAGCCCAAAAGCTCAATTACGTACTGACTCAGAAGCAMCTGAATTAACCTGCTTTTCAGCAATGCTTGAGTGACCTCTCCTACTGATCTTAAAATACTAAGCCCTGTGTGAATGCTAATTTTAGTAGTAATCACTACTAAKCGATGAGCAGGTTTCTCTATGTTACATAGTGTGAATTTTTACATCAGAACTGTGTTCAGAGGTGTGGAAAAACCTTGAACAGTAGGTTGACCAGTGATTTTTATTTTATGCAACAGTTGTAACAGAGCTGAAACTCTGCAGGCTCGATGCCATTTTTTCAACAAGCACATCATAATGTTGAATTATGTTAGGTCATCAGTGTAGGTTACATTATCAGTATCAACTGCACCCTGTTATATCACACCAAACATGTGCCCTAAAAAGATATGTGGTGTTGATTAAGGCTGTATCATGAAAATACGCAGAATAATCACCTGTGGAACTTCTTTACCTTCTATTTCTAGTATTATTACTAGTAAAGCTACTACAGGAGTAGCCATAGAAGGAATATTTGCCTTAGATTGGTCTACAGGTTTTTTGTATTAGCTACTGTAGCTTTTGTATGATTGCTTCTAGGAAACTGGCTTTAGGAGTGGTAAGAAAATTCAGTTATGGACTAGTAGAGTATTCCTTCTCCTTTAGATAGTGCTACGCTTAGTGCTATAACCATGTTGAGCTAAAATTATGACTTTGAATGTATTTGTGACGACTTGCACTGTGAAGAAACACTCAATTCAGTTGTGAAGTGTTGCTCTTTGAAGCATAACTAACTGTTACATGGGCTTGGTGCTGCTCCGGTCTTACCTGCTCTTGTCACTTGTAGGTCGTTGCTGAGGTTTGCTCCTTGCTCACAAATGGGGTGGTTTCATTGTGCTCTGCTGGAGACAAGCTCAAAACCTARGTTGTGTTCTGCTGTTATCCCCTCAGTCGGCTTCCCTCTACTGCTTGCTCCAGTAAYTCAAGAGGTGCCTTATATAGAGTAACTGAATTTTTGAAGACTGTATAGTTTAATYCAGTCCCAAAACATTTAAGGAGTATCAAGGTATAATGTGTAAACAGGCCCAGAGGGGGAAAAATATTTTTCCTTGTGAGCTCCTGCTATGAAGAAGTGTTTACCGGCCAACTCAGGGCCTTTAAAAAGGCATCACAGTAGTCTGGAGGCTGTTCTCTAAACTGTGCATTAGATTCCTACTTGTGACCTTATTGTCCTCAAAATAGTTTTTGAGCTCTCAAAAAGAAGCAGATAAACAATATGCTGGTATTTTTGTTTCAAAGGTGATTAATTGTGTTCTCTGCTTCTGGATAACTTTGTGCTTTTATTTAGGTACTCTTTCGAATTTTAAATTTTGTCTTCAAAATAAATTGCATATACTGAATAAACTGAAGCTCTATTAAAGGCTGCTATTACATAAACAGTATTTAGCATAACATTACTGACATTTATTTTTAAAATGAGGGAATAGCATTTACTGAGAAGAAGAGTGGTTGATCTCTTCATCCCCAAAACATGAACCAGCTCAAAATCAAATAAAGAGAATGACTAACGTGCTTCTTCAGGGCCAAAACATTTCCAATGAACAAACACTTAAAATTATCTTTTTCTTTGTTTTGTGAACTGTGTAATGTTTGAGGTAAAGTGAAGCTTTTGCGTTTACATTTTCAAAGATTTTTTGAAATGGAAACCTCTCTTTTTCCTCTTAAGCATAGCAGATCTCTTCAGTTAATACTGCTKTTATCATACACTTCGTCTTTTTCTTACTATTATGCCTGGAAGTTTCAACATTTGGGATTTTAAAAAATATCTAATAGTTTGTAAAGAACAAAAACATACATATTCATATGTATAGATGTATGTATTACATGTTTTTTTAGGAGGGTATGGTGTAATACTGGCTCTTGAAGTGAGCATATGTGAGTAGGAGTGAAAGTTACCAAGTTCCTTCATGTATCTGTTTGGGGGAGGAAGGAAGTTCAGATCATGTCACTTGATTATGGCTTCATATGTTTTCTCAAAACACTTTTTTCTTAAAGAAGCAAAACAAATTCAAGTTGGCTGAAAGTTTGCTTGGAGATGTGTGTATATGGGGAGAAATTAAAGGATGTATTATAGTATTTTTTTCTTCTCTAACCCTCTGAACAAGCATTTGTAGCCAGACTTCCAGACTCTTTGGTTTTATTTTGTTCCTCTTCGTGCAATAATGATAGCGTTGCTAGGTCTGTAGTGCCACTCTGATGTCAAAGCAGAATTATAGTTGCTGAATCACATTGGCAGGGAAATTTTTAGTGGAGTAACACTGGCAAGCAACACTTTCTAATTTTCTGGTTTATTTTTAGCTTGATTTTTATGTTTTACTGTCTCAGGGAGTCAAGCTGGGTTTTGAGGAAATGATTTTCCTCTACTTAGATCTGTCTAACGAATGATAAAGCAATTGCAGTGACAACAAGCCCTTTTCTTTTTTCTTTTTTTCTTTTGTTTTGCAAACTGTACTTAAATGAGGCACTTAATTCGAGTCCTAGGCTGTTAACATTTCTTTACATATGTGTTGACCCTAATGATGTGAGACTAGCAAGTCAACATTGTGTGAAAGTAAGAGTTCAGGCAGAAAAACTAGGTGTTGTTCTGGTCCCACTGGGACCAGACTGTGGTCAGACTGTGCCTTGAAGGGTYGTGTGAAGCTTAAATCATCACCTCAGCACTTCTTCTATACTCTGTGGGAAGGTCCTATCCTAGTGCTGTAACTTTTCTTGTTTGGTGCTGCTTTTAGAAGCCAGGAAGTTTCATATGAGGTATAATGTCTTGTCCTCAACCAGATTGATTTTGCTGAAATATCTTACTGACTGCCAAATAAGAGATTTTTCCTGTCAACGTATATCCGTTTCTTCATTTTCTTGCAGAGGTAAAACTCAGTAATGAGCTTAACTGAAAGCAGGTCTTTAATCTCGCTCTCCAAAGCTTCACTGAAGTTTGGGACTGAATTTGGGTGGTGCTTATGATTATTTATTTATTGTAAGCCCTCAGAAAGGAAGTGGGGGGAGTGCCCAGGGGCTGGCCCGGGGGTTTGTGCTGGGCTGGGGCGAGCGCGTGCGCCACAGCACCAGGAATGAGGAAGCCAAACGCCCGCTCCTGCTGCCTGCCCACAGCAAACTTCCCAGCAGCAGCCACAAGGGGAAAAAAAATCTCCAGATACATTGGAGTGCTCCTCTGTGCTGTAGCGTATTCACTGTTCATGGAGCTCCATGGGCAGAGGTGAGAAGTTACTTTTTTTCCCCCTTTTACCTCCTCTTCCCTGATTAAATATTTAAATTTAATTTATTTAAGCTTGTGTGTGTAAGTAGCTATGCAAACCCCTACATGATGTGAGTGTTTTCCCCATCCTCTGAAGGGTATGGAGTGTTTTGTGTGTGTGACTCCAGCATGTTTTTGGAGAGCAGAGTGCTGGTATAAACAACCTGCTTGTCCTGGCTGCTCAGGGTGCCTCTATGTTGGCCTGTTGAGTCTCTCCMTAAAATGAAGTTCAGGGCTTCTTAAAGTATTTTAAAACCTGCGCTCCCTATCAGGAAAGAGGTGGGGGGGGGGAGGAAGGAGGGAAATACTTGAGGCTTCTCAGTAATTCTGGTTTATTAAGAACTGCTTTCAGATCATCTGTTTGCTATACCTGGGTTGTTGGTTACTTTATAATCTTAAGCCTGAGAAGTTTTGAAGTAATAGCCATATCGCAGAGCCAATGCCACAGGAGAGGGAATTTCGTCTCTGACCTGGCAAGACTTTTCCAGCAAGACTGATTGCTGYCAAGGAGCAAGTATCTTCAAAAAAATTAACAAAATAGTATTAGTTTTATTAGATTAAATTACAGAGCTGCCAAGAGCGGCATTTGCATGAGCAGATGGCTTGGCAGACCTGAGTTTGCCTCGGCAGTGTGGAGGTGCTCTAGCATTAAAAAACTTAGTTGCAAGTTCACTGCTAACTGTTGCAGGAGCATTTGGGTGCTTGATATCTGAGCAGGGCTCAGCAGAAGTGAAAGAACCTCAAGACCAGAGTGAAAAGGGACGATAAAACTGTAATTCTTATCATTAGAATGGTTTTGCTCTGCAGATGTCRGAAGAGGGTGTTGCTTGGGTAGGAAAAGCATGTGCCACAGAGCGAGGTGAAGGCAGCAGAGCGGGTGGCGCACGGAGGACCATGCGTCCCGCGGGCAGCCCTAGTGCCAGAGTGCTGAGTCACCTGCCGCACGACGCGGCGCCCAGCCGTGCGAGCTCGAGCATGACAGTGACGCAGCAGCGCGTGATGCCTCCGCTCCCGTGAGCGGCGCATCTGCGAGGAGATGCGCTCTGTTCGCGGCTCCTCTGCTGAAGGACCTGGCAGAGATGGTTAGCTGGGTTTTAGTGGCAAGCGGAAGAGAGGTTTCCCATGGTGGCTCCAAGCCAGGACATGTTTGTACAAAGTATGCTGAATATTAAACATGAATTTTGCATTCGTGTAAAGGTTTACAAAGCTTTCTAGCTACCTGTGACCATTTCAAGTGTCACACAGCCAGGGCAGGAGTGAATTGCCTGGCTGTGCGTTGCCCTGGAAAGGAAAAGCTGTAGCTGGGCCTTTCTTAAGTGCTGTCAAGGTACCAGCACTGAGGGGCTGCTGCTGAGCTTGCTGTGTGACTTACCCAGGGCTTGCAGGATTTAATGGGGTGGGGGAAAGAAAGGAGCCAAAATGAAAATGAATTTTCTTCCATACCCTTTACAGAGGGCTGAGCAGGGGAAGGCGGCTTACACAAAGGTGTGTTACATGTTTAAGCTCAGAAATGAATCTGTCTCTGGTTCCAGTATACTGTCTAAGATGAATGTCTTGAAGAAACTATACTTAGTAATTAAAGAGTCGGTCTCTGAGTTTTGCCCTGAAGTTGTGTTTTGGATTTTTGTGTTGTGTTTTTCTGTTTGTTTATCCACCCCYATCCCCACTTCTATTAGCAGGATCTGTGAGTAGGAATCTTAAAAAAAAAACAGGTCATGATATAGAAAAACTTGCATGCAAAAGAAGAGGCTTTTACACTTCGGCATGCATCTTAACTATGTTAGTGAAGTTAAAAACATTAGCAAGTGAAGTAATTAATTTCCAGGTAGGTAGGGTAACGTGTCCTTTTCTGGCYGATAAGAAAATTTCTTCCATCAGGAAGGTGAGAGCACTGCCCACTCTTTGGCCTGAGGACTGGGACCTGTTAATTGAGCAAACAAGAATTCCTGTCTAAAGCATTAAATGTTTAGAAACAGCAGTGTGCCTTGCTTTTTTTTGTAAGCCAAATACTCTTGTTTGGTGCTTGCATTTTTTTCTTGTCTGATTTCTGGTATATCTTTGTTTTTCTTCTTTGTGTACAAAGAGGAACATATCCAAAGCATGGGAAACTACTCTCCATCTTTCATACTTGTTAGAGGATTGCATTTAAAAAGTCATAAAATCAGTGTTATATGACTTGTTCTATGTTTTTTTAAGCAAGTACATCACTATGAATATCTTGTGAAGCCTTTTCTGTATTAAAAAAAAGAACTCCCTCAAAGCTCAACTAGTAACTCTTTGCTGTTTGCCTTGGCAGAAGGGTGCAGCTGGGAACAGGAGTTAGATGAAATACTGGGGCTCTTCAGTGTCTGTTCTAACATGGATTGTTGTTTTAAAGTACTTGTGAATTGCACAAATTTTAACTTGARTTTTTTTCTTCTACTTAGAATTGAGGGTTTTTTTTGAGGAGGGTGTTGTATAAACAGGTAAAGCCAGTGCCCACTTTTGAGTGTGAAAGCCACAAGGAGAGTTAAACTGATATGTCTGATACATTTGACTTAACAAGTATATTTTGYTTCCTGATGTGTTTGAGAGTTAATCTGTTCAACTAGCACTACTTTTTGCTGATTTCACCAGGAGTCAAGGAGTAAATGAGTCTTCACTATTGAATTTATTTTTTTGAATCATTTTCTCTCCACTGAGTTTACTCTTAGTTTCTCGTTACATGCACRATGTAGTTAAAGTGTTACGGTACTTCCACTTTCTTAAAACTTTTAGTAGTTCTCTTTTACATTTGGTTTCAAAATGATTTTAAAAATGACCAGTCATAAATCTTTCAATGTCTTTTATGCTTCTGTGAAAAATTATTTAACCTTTTAATGAATGCTGTAAAAAAATTTTATTAGTGACATTAACGTGGCATCATTTAAAAAAGGTTTTCTGGAGGAGGCTCATGTCTAGTTTAATTGTTCTAATTGTAAAGAAGTAAGAAAACATAGAGAAGGTAATGAATTTCATCCTGTAACTTCAGGATGATAGAAAAGGCAACTTACCTTTGTTCATTTGTTTTAAGCTGTATAACAAGAGAAAAGGAGTTTTAAGTGGCTTTTTCAGTGCTATAGAATAGCGGGAATTGAAGCAAGTCATGACTCAGTGCTCTATTTTAATCTCTGAAGGACACTCCTCCTTCAAGAATACCAGTGATATTTACATAGCAGAATGGCTTTCAGAGGGTTTTTTCCAATGGAGAGCACTAACTTTATGTTTCTGTTTTTTAGGTTATGTTTCACACTATGTGCTGACTGTCTGTACTTACAGAAGATATTTAAAAACAAACAGACTTTTTTTTCCAAAAAAAAAAATTGATTCCAGTGGAATCTGTGCTTTGAAATTTTTGTCCCGTCAATTAACTCCTGAAGCAATGCCTGTACAAGCTCCACAGTGGACGGATTTTCTGTCCTGCCCAATTTGCACACAGACGTTTGACGAAACGATCCGGAAGCCCATCAGCTTGGGTTGCGGCCACACTGTCTGCAAGATGTGCCTCAACAAGCTCCACCGTAAGGCATGCCCTTTTGACCAGACCACTATCAATACAGACATTGAGCTCCTTCCTGTGAATTCAGCATTGCTGCAGCTTGTGGGTGCTCAGGTAACAGTGTTTATTTACTTATTTGCTGTTTTTACATTGCTTTTCTTGGGGGAGGAGGGGCACAATTTCATGAATAAAGCATGAATGAGCTGTGGAGCARACATCTACCTTGCTGTACACAAACTTTCCAAGTTGTGCTTTTGAGGTCTTTGACACTCTGTAACAGAACTGACTTGAAAAGCAGTTAAATCGGTCTTGCTTTTACCTTTGATTTTTTTCACATTATTCCTAGTGCAATGCCRCTGTCTTGCCAGAACAGGTAGTTCTGTTCTTTTGTAGGTTGTAGATGAACTGGATCAATTATCTCATGGAAAGCCATCTTTGTGGTGTGCTAGGTCGCTYRTGTTGTCTGATTCAGCTTACAGACRTGTCATGCAGTGCCAGAGAAGTAAGAGAGGGAAAGGGAAGGTGACAGACCCCTCTGATGGCAGTCTCTGTACTAGCTTACGTTTAATTTGAACTGTGTCCTGGGAGTGTAACTTTATGAGATGACCTATGTTATCTTAAACCTAATACAGCTGAGAGGGGAGAGCCTGCCTAAGGTCAGCTGAATCGGGCGTCTGGCTTGGGTGACTACTGCAGTGGCCACCAGCCTGAGGAAAGGGACAGGAGWGTGTGTCCATGGGAAGCAGGATGACCCTGTTTGGTTGCGGCATAGTCTTAAGCTGGCGTAGGCTTATCGTAAAGCCACGGGCTTAGGCCACTAGTGACTTCCTGTGAGCTGGACCCTTCAAGACTGCACAGGATCATGGATCCAGGAGTTGGGTGGAGGAGGGAAGAACATGTCTGATTTACGGGTGAGAAGTAAACATACGGGTTGGATGCAAGTTGTTTAGGTTATAGATTTCCCATTATTTTACTTCTCTATCTGGACTCATTTGAGTTGAGGCAGCATAGAATTCAGGAAGATGCATATTTTGATTTTTGAGTAGTGTTGCAGAGAGGCTATAAAAGCCAGAGAAAGCTGGTTTTAGACTTTTGATTAGGTATTCTAAGTTAGAGATGCAATTGTGTTTCTGTCACTCTTTCAAACCAGATGTGGTTTGTTATTGTCCTTTTATTACATATTTAAAAGTTGTATCAGAAGATTAAAAAGTTCTGCTTCTGGTTGTAGCAGTGATGAATCTTGCCTGTGGGGAGAAGGTAATTCAACTCCATGCTTCCATGTCTAACATGTGCGTTTCCATCTTTGAAGAGTTTCCAAACACTGGGAAGTTTGTAGGTGATGCTATGAACAAATGTTGTAATTCTCTTGTTTCTCACTTGCTCCACTGTATCTTYTTCCTTTCCCTCTACAATAGTTCCAACTATATGCAAATACCTGCTTTTGTGTTGTGGATATATGTCAGTCCTCTGGAGAGTTTTTCAGTTTGTATATATTTGCTACACTTGGAAAAAAGCTATCCTGTAGCTTTAACCTGGTCTCTGGCTAAATTTAAATATCCACAAAACCAAGATCCTTTGCAATGACATGAAAAACCACCTTGTGCTATTACACGTGATTTATTCTAGCTTTGCAAGTAGGCTAGCCAGTTCCTCTTTTTGCTTTAGTTTTGGGAGGGTGTGCATAATTTTAACTATCTMTGATCTTCTGCAAACCTCCATACACTGCATGAAGACTATTTTTATTAAATGTTAAATTCCAAAAAACAGGTTTCATTTTGGAAGGTAAGTGATATAATGTGAAGCTGTTGTCTGTAGTGGGGGAGAAGTTTGTGTTCTTTCCTCTGGGGAGGCTTTGGAGGAGTTCTCACGTTGCGTTCTGGGAGGCAGTGGCTGTGCTGTTCAGTATAGTATATATACATTCAGCAGAGTGAGCACAAATGCCGAAGGGTTCATTGGATGCAGCAGTCATAGAAAACCTTGAAAATCTTCAGATACAGAAGAAACCCCTTAAACCAGGTTCTAATGGAATGAGCTCTTGAATCTCAGCTATTGAAGCTCCATATATTACTCATTTCATGCAACTATATTAAACATCCACCAGGCCTGTGTTTTGAAGGTGACCAATCATGTATTTGTCATCAAATGTCTTCCCTCCTGTTATCCGCCACGTGCAAGACAGCAGTATGAACGTTCCTAACAGGTGACATTGAATCCCAGGAATTCCTGTGGACACTTTAATTTTTGTCTGTGCCCTCTTGGACAGAGTAAATGCAGTGGGAGGCATTTGACAAGGCACCCATGTATGACAAGAGTTTGGGTGGAGCTCAGCCAGCTTGCAGTACCTTCAGAAGGGGAAGGTGGCTACTGCGGAGCGTAGGTTACCTACACATTTGCTAGAGCTGTTTTGTAGTCTCAAATGAAACGAGGGGCCTCTGAGGAAGAATCCTCTGCAAAGAAACATTTGACAAACTTTTGAGAAATTGAAGGCTGTAGGCATTTCGGCAGGAAGAATATCCTCCATTTGTAGGAGGAAGAAATGTGGGGGGGACATATCTGAAACTGGACGCAAGGGGGTTTGTCCTGCTGAGTGTATTTTTATCCTGCCCAGTTAAGTGCCTGCTGCTAATTAGCTGACATCCTCCATCCAGTTACACTTAAATGGCTAATTCAGAAGCTGGACAGAGTATTTGCTTCCAGTTCCCACCTCCTTGTGCTGCCACAACCTGCCATTTTCTGCAGCCGCAAGAGTCACTGAAGAATGTCATTCCTGTGCCAGGACGCCAGGCTCAGTGCTGAGGCAGGGGCATGCAAATGCACTTTTAAACTTTAAAAAAAAAAAAAAAAAAAGTCAGGTTACACAAGAAGCTGCTGCTGTTCTTGTGGTCCCCTTTGGGAGACATTTATCGTGGCACGTAAGAGCAGTTTGCAGTGAGAAGGGTGGGGTGCCTGGGAGAACGGGATGTGGAACATGGCTGGAAATAATGAACTCATTTGGCAGGGCAGCCACTTTGTGCTTTGCAGAAAGCCTTGTCAACAGTCAGGACTGTGGGGACCTCCAGCCTCTCAGGAGGAGGTTTTGCAATGGGGAAGTGAAAATGCTTTGGGCTTCAGTGATCTCTCTGTGATCCTAAAGCAATTCYTTGACAGAGCCAAAAGAAAATTGGCTTTTCCTGTGACTTTTGAGTCATATGGTCTACCTCTTTGAGGGTTTTTTTTTTTAACTCTAGGTAAATGCTGTTCAGTTGTTCTAATTCTAAAATGGTGAAACATTTTGGAATGGCATATGAAAGTACCAGCAGAAGGGCAAGCCCTTTGTAAGATTTGCTATTCTTTTACTATTGTATATTTTTGAATTGGTTACAGTGACACTTGTGAATGTTGGCACAGTGCTGTACTGGAGCCCCAAGAGATGCATTAAGAATTAAACTTGGGGTGGAGGGTCGTGGTGGAAATTAAAGTTTGGGGCAGAGGGACAARTCCAACATCTCCTTGAAAGATCTTGGTAAATGTCTGCATGAACATAAAAATGTTGCAGTCAAAACATGATAAAAAAAAAAAGCCCACTACACTGGTCCATGATACCAGTTTTATACTTGCAGATATGTGCATAGACGCTGTGTAGGATAATGTAATTTTGCAGCTCAACTAATYAGATCTGTCCAGAATATGCCGTGACTTTCCTTTTCCTCCCTCCTTAATCCAGATAGTTCTGAACATTTACCCCTAGGTATTCTTAGAGCTGCCAGGTTCCAGATGTGAATCTGTACCCTCTTGCAAACCAGAGTTACCTGAGTAATTCTGGTTTTTGGCTGGTCTGCTCTGGCAGTGTCTCGGTATGATTGCTGCTTCAGAAAAAGGTTATTATAGAAATGTCATGTTTCTTGTGCTACTATCTGCTGTCGTGGAGTAAGCATTCTGACTTTACTTCATATGAACCACTAGAAAAGGAGTCTGATACCATGGCCCATAAGGTAAATTGAAGCTTAAGGGATTTTATTTGTCTTTTCTAAACCTCTGCCTCACCTGATACCTGAGTGGAGTAGAAGCCATTTGTTCATTAAAATTGGTAATTACCTATTGCTCACTAATGTTGAAAAGTCATAGAGAAGGGGAATGAAACAGGAAACACTTGATAGTAATAAGACACTTATGWGCTTGTAAGCAAGACTGCTGCTTGTGTGTGCACATTCATCATGGATGTCTGTGTCATCTCTCCAGGTTCCAGAGCAGCAGCCAATTACATTATGTAGTGGAGCTGAAGATACCAAGCATTATGAGGAGGGCAAGAAATGTGTGGAAGAATTGGCATTGTACCTCAAACCACTCAGCAGTGCCAGAGGTAATTCCTGTGTTTCACTGGAAAATGAAAGCTGCAAGCAAATAAGTTGCATAACWAACTATTCACATCATTACTAGTAGAGTCTGCAGAGATTGAGCTAGATCTTGTTTTGAAATATCAAACTGGAATCACTTTTCTGAGCTTTAGGATTATGTTTTCACTTGGAGAAACCATTTTTTTCAGTATTATGTAAAAATAATACTGAAAAAAGAGACTTTACTACAGTAAGTTGAGATAAATTTACTAAGTTGGGCTGACCTCAGCTAACTAAGTGAATGTTCTGTTTCTTGAGTTCTGCTTAAGGAACTCTAAAAAGGAACATTATTGCAGTGGAGGAATAAAATAAAGGAAGTATGTGTTGAATATATGATATGTGAGAAATAACTTATTCTATTTATACAGAACTTTACACAAYGACCAAGTCCATCTGAACAATATTAGTTGTCAAAAACACAAAAGTTCAAGTGTGTGTGTGTATATATGGTGTATAGTGYGTGGATGTGGAAAATCAATAATCAATCCTTTTTAGATACAGAAGCAAATGAAGCAGTACAGACAAATGTTGTGGGAATCTGCTTTCAAAAAAGAGGGTAAAACATTCTAATGCATCTGTGTGTGTGTAAATATATACACACACACAGATGCATGTTTATTATATATATGTAAATATACCCAAAAGTCACCCAGCTTTTAGAATGCTGTAACATCATATAAATCTGTATATGTCTATATAATGCTGTAAGTATTTGCATTTAACATATATAATACTAAATGTTTTGTGAAAATAGRTGTTTAGAGATTAAATGATCCCTAYAAGTTTTATAAAAGGTAAAGTCTGCAGTATGACTCTACATRAGATTTCTTAAGAGTTTCACATCAATTAATCATCTGTGAGAAAGCAGATGCCTATGGCATAGAACTGTTTGCTTTTAATGCTGAGTAAAACAAACTGATAAAAATGAGTTTTTGATGTTTCTGGCTGTAGCGTTCTGTTTAAGAGTTGACATGGCGAGAACTGGGTTTGAAGTTTCCTAGTACAGCAGCCGAAGGCTGGTGCYAAGAGATATGAAGTAGCAGCTTTCTATTTCATTCTGTTTTGCAGGTGTGGGTCTTAACAGTACTACTCAGAGCGTGCTAAGTCGTCCCATGCAAAGGAAGCTGGTGACGTTGGTTCATTGCCAGCTAGTCGAGGAAGAGGGGCGCATCCGAGCCATGCGTGCCGCGCGCTCGCTTGGTGAAAGGACCGTGACAGAGCTCATCCTGCAGCACCAAAACCCACAGCAGCTCTCTTCCAACCTCTGGGCTGCGGTGAGAGCCAGAGGGTGCCAGTTCCTTGGGCCAGGTAGGTAACATGCACGTCAATGTTACTGCCATATTTAGTAAGCAATTTAGTATTGAAGAGGATGGAGAAATAAGTGCCCACGTTACAGAAATTGCCTGAGTGATTTTGTTGGACGTTGGTTTATCTCCTTAGCATAAGTCTTCAGAATTAATGATATATCTGTTGTGTTACTGTTATAGACTTTATCATGTTTTTGCTGCTTTTGCAAGAGACATTTTCAATAAAAATTTTACTACTCATTGGTCTCTTTCTTGTGAGAAGCTCAAATTGAAAGTGGTTTGTCTCTTCTTTCATTAAGGAAGTAAAGCCCTTCTGGAAAAAAAATAAGGTACTAGAAGTGACTGGACAAGACCCTCTCCAGATGGCTAGAGAAATAGAATAAGTGGTTGTCAGGGTAGTGAGTGGAGAAATAAGTTACTTTTTTGTGTCTGTCAGTGTATTTTTGAGAAGTTGCATGTTTAAATATCAGAAAGGGCATATGTCTAAAAAGATGACAATCTTAAATTTGAGTTTTTACACATAATGTTGAAACAACCTATTTTCCTGAAAAAGATCATGTCTAATGATTGAACCTGTAGCACTTGCTGAGCAATGACAAAGAATTTTTTTTTTCCTCCTCCACTGAAATAAATGACTAGGAATAAGGCCCTGTGCCAACTCTTGCACYATTAAGGAGGACAGGAGGTCCTTGTTTTCTAGCTATGAAAAATATTTGGTRTTAGAGCACTTGAATTGTTTGGTCGTTCTTCTATCTGCGTGGGAACTTACTGCTTTGTCTTTCCATTGTGTGTCAGCGTTCCTCCACCTGGGGAAGAGTGTGAAGCTTGGATTTTTTTTTTTCTTTTTGTCTCTTCTCTCCTGTCTTTGGTCTTGTTAACCTCTGGGTATCCAGGTGATCAGACTTTTTTGCTCCTGTCTGTGCATCTCTCTAGATTGTCAGTACAAGGGTTTTCAAAGTACACTATCTGCCCAGTTGCTGTCTGGGTAGTACTTGTTCCATTCTTCCCTTCCCTTCTCACTTGGCTCTGCTTCCTATCTATATGCTTGTATTTACCTTTTTCTTTTTTTTTTCTTYTGTCTACAGTTGGCAACTGATCCACCATGTTTATTTGTGTGGAATGAAACACAAGAAAAATGCAGGATTTTTTTTTCCCATACTATTCCTTTTTCTTTACTTTTTCTTTCTCCTCCAGCAATGCAGGAGGAGGCTTTAAAGCTGGTTTTGCTGGCTCTGGAAGATGGATCTGCTTTGTCACGGAAGGTTTTGGTTCTCTTTGTGGTTCAGAGGCTGGAGCCGCGATTTCCACAGGCTTCTAAAACTAGCATTGGACATGTTGTCCAGCTTCTTTACAGAGCCTCCTGCTTCAAGGTATGAACACTTTGCTTGGAGGTTTCATGACACATAGAAATATTTTTTTGTGTAGCCAAAGGATGCTCTAATTTTAAATGAGTTCTATTACATGCTCCGAACTTATAGAACTCCTTTTTTTCATTTTCAGTTGTCCCTGTCCYATACCATAAAAGCATCTAAAAAAAACTATGTATAGTTATAGAAAGTATTCTTCAGTAAGTTCTCTGTGTGCTTGGTGTTTTGTCCTACATCTGTAAAGTCAATGGCAATTGAAATKGCAATTTTAAGCAGTAAATCTAAGCTTGGAGTCTGTCCAGGTTTAATGGATGCATAGTAACAAAACTCATGTGTAAGTTACACTGACTTATCTCCTTAAAAGACTAAAGCTGGAAAGGCCTCACTTCGGTTAATTGAGCTTCGTTGTGGTTAGAAACAAACACRAGGCACTTCACTAGAAAACCTGATTTTGATATCAAAGTTGTATAAGGAAAACTTAAGTTGTTAAGGGTRCTGCTCACTGTGGAAGTCGTTGCTCCGTGCTACACTTAGGGGTCATCTTACTAAATGAGGAAGAAAATGCTTTATTGCTGATTATTATTAATCTCGAGACTGGGGAGTTGTTGATGGATGCTGTAGTTACTGGTACAAGCATTTAGAAAGTGAGACGCTAATAATAATATCTGGTTCTGATTCTGAGTGTATTTGATAGCTACTTCATAGTAACCACAGTTAATGAAGAGCTTATTTTAGTGGGAAATACAGTCACATTCCTTGCATAGTGTCATGATAACAATTCAGCTTATTCTGGGGGAAAGAACTTCGGTGATGAATTTGGACTTAAGTCTCTGGCTTATCCTGTTTAATTGTACTTGGCTATTTATATTTTTTTCCCCCTAGGTGACAAAGCGTGATGAGGATTCCTCCCTAATGCAACTGAAGGAGGAATTTCGGACTTACGAAGCTCTGAGAAGGGAACATGATTCCCAGATAGTTCAAATTGCTATGGAAGCAGGTTTACGCATTGCACCGGATCAGTGGTCCTCACTGTTATATGGAGACCAGTCTCACAAATCCCACATGCAGTCTATTATTGACAAGGTAAACCCACCTGCAGGCAGCCCAGCCTATCTTGTCTTAACTGTTTGTACATCTGTAAGCTTGTAAATTGCATGTGAAGCTTTCAGATGTACTCACGGTTGATCATTTGTGCTGTTATTTCAAAACCCCTTTTTGGCCTAAATGAGAACCTATATTTAGAATTTAATTAATCCTGCTCCCAGTGCTTTCCTATTCTCTTTTTCTACTTGATCTCTTTAGGTAGGAAATTAAGAGTTTAACTGCACAGCTGGGATGTATTCCTGTGAAACAGTTGAAACAGTTGATAGCTATCAATGTAGTAAAACAGGTTAATAGTTTGTTGGCAGAGGGGGAGCTAGTCTGTAAGTTGGAAGACATTCAGCCCCTCAGTCTACCTAAATGATGGCTTCTATGCAGGAGGATTAACTTGAAGAATAAACTGGTACTATCCATCTATTTGACCTGATCTTCAGGTCCTGACAGATCTTTCTGAAGCATCTCTGCAGAGTTAAAACAGGATATTAGGTAGTGAGGTTGTGTGGTGTGAGTGGARCATTGTTAGCTATCTCTGTCCTTCCACTGTCTTTGTTAAATAGGTCTTTAATATTTTGTGTTTTTTTCCTTGGTACTGGCACAATTTAGAAAACAGGTTATGCTACCGGAAGTGATGCCAGCCTTCGTTTTGTCTGTTTCGAGCTATGCTTTAACTTAGAATGCCAAAGAAAGGTGTTTTCTTGAGGTTGGAGGAAGTGTTTTACTTCAGAGTGCCGAAAACAGCTTGTGTGTTATAAATAGCTCTGATGTGATGGAGCAGCCTTCAGAAAGGGTTGCTTTGTTTGTAGAAAGTTAATTATTATAATTATTTTAAGTTGCAGACCCCAGCCTCATTTGCACAGAGTGTTCAGGAATTGACTATTGCTCTCCAGAGGACTGGAGATCCAGCTAACCTGAATCGTCTTCGACCTCACCTGGAACTGCTGGCAAATATCGATCCCAGTCCAGGTAAGTCTAGATATTTTGCAAAGCTGTGTAACTTGAAGYTTACCAGGAGGGATTTAATAGCTTTAGGAGTTTGAAAGCTATTCCTTAAGGAGAAGAAAATGTCCTCTATAACTGATAAATTTTAAGATTCGTGAATTATATTGAAAATTAACCTTGCAAAAACATTAATTTGTGTGAAGAACTGAACTATTTTAAGCAAAGGTGGAGCCAAAAAAAAAAAAATCCTGGAATAATTTCACCACTTTTCTGGGGAGGTCTTCTGTGTTTGAAAACAAGGGCTAAGGTGGCTGAGGATGTTAAGTGCATGTTATCCTCTGAGGATTACATGGTACATTCTTCATACTGGTTAGTGTCAACTGTGAGGAACTTTGAGCAGTCTTTTTTCCTTTACCTACTCAGTAAACATGCCGCTTGCTGTTGCTTTGCAAGTCTGGTTTCAGTAAGACTGGTAGAACCACTGTGTTTAGTGCAGGTCTTAGAAATTCCTCAAAGCAACAGCTTTCTCTCCCGTTCTTTAGCGGAGCAGATGATCTGTTTACAAACAGAGGGAATGTCTAAGAAAGTATTTGTCAGAGTAAGGATTTCCATTATCTTCTTAGCTGAAAAAGACATATGTCCTTGGTCTAGAAATCCTGGTTATTTAGTTTTTAATTCAAGTTGTCTAGACTGCTAAAGTACACCTTTTACACTTACAAGTCTCTCTTGAAAGTGCCTTAAAATCATAAGGCCTCTTGTATGTAGACTATTTAGCACTCCAAAGTAAAGTCTGATCAATGGTAATGAGAGAAGCTAGGCAAAAAAAAATTTCTGACAAAGCAGATGGACTGTTTTGGTAAACTTACTGTTTTCTTCTTAATCTTTCATTCTACAAATGTGTGGAAAGACAAACTGGGAAGGATAAGTGAGCTGGAAAGAATGTTAGTGAGAAACAAGATCTGAGCTTGTGACAGGAAGGAGGTGGTGGAAGTTGTTGGGAGAAGTTAGTAGCACGGAGGAGGGAACTGGCCAAAGGCGCAAGGATGGGCAAGAGTGACTGCTGTGCCTGACGTTTTATTTTGTGTCTGTTACATATTTGCAGAATTTGAGGTTATTGTCAGAGATGTGTGAAGACCTAAACTATAACATCAGGAGATAGAGGCAGCAGATGTTGTCAGTTTGCTTAAACGGGCTCCCCTTTGAAGTGAGGACCAGATATGTTTTACAACTAGAGACAATGTATTGCTTTCTTACCAAATCCTTGCACTATACCTAGTCAAGGATAAAACTTGGGAGAGCACTTGATACTCCTTAACTGGTGATACTCTAGGAAAGAGGGACACTTTGCTGGATTGACTGGAAAGTGTCTCCCACCAAGATGGACTCTTTGGTGGTCTAAAAGTTTTATTGCACTTAAGATTTCTTAAGATTTCATCATTACATTGTCGTAGAAAAATCTTTTTCTGCATGTGTGGATTTTTATAAAAATACAAAATGTGTAGTGTTTTATTTTTAATCCTGTCTTCTGTCAATGTTGCAGATGCTCCACCTCCAACATGGGAACAACTGGAAAATGGGCTAGTTGCTGTGAGAACTGTGGTTCATGGCTTAGTTGATTATATTCAGAATCACAGCAAGAAAGGAACAGACCAGCAACAGGTAAAAACTCAAACTCTTCAAAAAACTGCTGATCAAAAGTTCAAAAAACTTCTGAAAAACTTCAAAAAACACTGATTTCTCTTGATGTTGAGTGTGCCCCATCACTGGCAAAAGGAAAGGTGGCGAGAGAACACAGGAGAAAGTCAGGGTGGGGGAAAGCTCAGGAAGGTGCTTGTGGTGGCCCTGGCTCCCGAGGGGGCTTCTGGTAGCCCTGGTACCTGGTGTGGAGCAGGGTGTGGAGCACCCCCCCACCTCCCCCCGAGGGGAGGGTCTGCATCCCTCCCTGCAGCATCAGCATTGCTGGCTGGGGGCTCTGGCCAGCAGAGGGCTGTGGAGCTCACCTACACCCCACCTAAATCCTTCTTCACTGCTGCAACCCAGCAAGTAGTTTGCAGATTGGCTTCTAATAGAACTGTATCTTCCAGCTAAATTCTGTCTTGGATTTCACAGAAAGCAATAGTGTGTTTTTACAGATTTTTCTGTGGTGAGAACTCTGATAGAGTTTTTCTGACTAATTTAATCTTGCCATGAAACTGCAAGAATTCAGCATCTTTGAGACCTCTGCTCTTGGTCAAAATTTATTTTAAAGTACTTAGCATCATGCTAGATGGTAAGATTACAGACATCATGCAGATGGTAAGATTACAATAAGTCACAGTTTCTTTGGACACCAAATTCAAAACTGTGTGTAAGATTAGTCCTGTACCCTGCTGTTCTGTGTGTATACACAAAAATAACTGTCACAGTTATGAGAATTTTCATCCAAGGAGGGTACAAGGAAACATGATGAGGTTTAGCTGTACCTGAAGAACAAAAGAATACAAGTCCCATCAAGCTCCAGCAAGAAATTAGAATAAATATTTTGAAAATCTGATAGCGACCTAGTTTCAGAATGCCTACTCCTGAATCTTTCAGTTTGGTCAGGAACAATATGCACATTTGGGTCTCTGTCAGTTGRTTGAGTTGCATGTTCTCTTGGGATTTTTACCTAGATGGAATGCTCAAGTCATGCATCAGTCCTTTCACAAGAGCATACATTCTGTTCCTGGCTAAGTGCGTTYAAGTATCTTCCTTTGTTTCTTTACTCTTGCCAGCCTCCTCAGCACAGCAAGTACAAGACATATATGTGCCGAGACATGAAGCAGAGAGGAGGCTGCCCCCGAGGGGCTAGCTGCACCTTTGCACATTCGCAGGAGGAACTAGAAAAGTAAGTGCACCTCTTCAGAGAGAAATCAGTCCAATCTTTGCACCTTGTCCTAAAGAGTGAGTTATATTCAGGAAAGGGGAGTGGAGGAAGTGTCTCATTTAATGGTTAAACTATCAAGAAATTATCTGAAAAAAAACTTTCAATAGGCCTATATTAAGTTTTCGAACTAGTCATTCTTGAATATAGGGAGTAAACTTGATGTTTTGCAGCAGTGATGCTGCTGTGAAAAGAGGAATGCTGCAGGGGAAGGAGGTTGCCAGTAGCTTCCCAGATCTGTAACTACCTGGAGAGTGAGAAACTTGAACAGGAGTGGTTAAAACCACTGTCAGAATAACCAAATAGCAGTTGTATGAAGTCTGCAGTAAATAAGCACTAGATATGGCAACTTTAGAGGCGACACCTGGTTATCAGAGAGCTGAACTCTGCAATTCTGAATATTGATTTCCTTCACAAAAAAAAATCTGATGTGTTGCTTAGAGTGCTTTTTTGTTTTGATGTGGCTTGTTTTACACAGTTTATAACTTGTGAACTTGCATTTATGTTAGAATTATTAATTTTTCCAAGGAAAAGACTTTAAATCGGAGGAAAATTCCAGCCATTTGGAGATGGCATGCCCCCGCCTTTCTCCCCCACCCCCCTTTAAAATATAAAAGCTCAAAGGAAAAATGTGACTTGCCTTCAGCTCTATGGAAATAGATGAAGAAGAAAACAAAACACAACATGGTATTAGAATAACAAAGGCAGCTATTGGCACTGCCAGAGAATAGGACTTTGATACTGGTGCTGTGTGGTGGCAGCACAGCAGGTGTGGGTTTCCCCCCTCTGCACCCCCTCGGTCATGTTAAAATTCAGCTTAGTGGTGCTGCTTTGACAGGTTGACATGGGCAGCACTATCTCCTGTGAACTAGTTGTATGTATCAAGAAGGATGGTCTGTCAGCTTTGCTGGGGGAAGAGCTCTGTTTTATGCAAACTGGTTTGTTTGCCGGAGCAATAATTTTGTCTTAGGGTGAGGTGACCATTTGCTCCATTTCATGTTGCAGCACTTTGTGTAGACAGTTGGAGAACTTTGAGTTCAGATCCTTCCCTGGACCTTTTTTTCTTTGCCTGATGAGGAGGTGCTGTATTAATTGTTCTCCTTTAAGTGTTTAATGTGAGTACTATGTATACTAGAATATCTTAAGGGAAGATGTTCTTCTGCAGAAAAACTGCTCTTCCTATATATATCTTTAAGCTTGTGGGCAAGGTTGTAGGCAAGCATGTGGTATTCCCTTAGATGTCAGATTGCTTAAATAGTAGATGATTTCCCTCCTGGTAAGGGACAAAAACCCAGTGTATATGGGCGAGTACTGTGGTTTTTAGTTTATTTTTGTTTTGTTCCCTTGGAGACTGCCACAGACATGGATGAAGTTGCTCTGAAGACCTCAGAGGGTAGCACTGTGAGCTTTTTTATTTTTCCTTTTTTTTTTAAGCATTTTAACTTGAGGAGTGTTGTATTAACTCTGACACCTTTGGTTAGCATTTGGGTTTCTTAGGCCTACTCTTGTGTCCTGTGTGAATGGGCAGCCCTCCTCATCCTGCAAGTTGTGCGCAAGTCCTTGTGGGGTTAGTAGCCATCAGGTGCTGCAAGCCTCAGAGACCTAATAGGAGGGAGATATTCAAAGGTAGCTGGCAAGCCAAAACAGCAGTGGCTTCTCAGTGCCCTGCTGCTGCTCTGCAGGGGAAGAACGGACTGTTTAGGCATCAGTGAGATTCCAAAASAAATTCAAAGTTCAGCTGTGTGAGCTGCTCTTGGCTGGCTTTTGCTTGTGGCCAAGAGTTTCACTTGGCAGCCTTTGTCCTGTGACTTGTTGATGTTGTGCATGTCTGACTCGCGCAGCTGTCGTGAGGTGCCAGAATGACCTGTGAGCAGCATTCTTCAGTAGAGATAGTCCCTGTCTTCGGAAGTGCTCCTTCTGTGGCAGTGCCCCATTTTGCTTAACTTCTCTTAAAGTGTTCCTAGTGATGACTTTCTCAATACTCTGTAGTTTAAATTATAGATTGGTTATTTGATTGAAGATTAATCTTGGCAGGAATTGGTGTGTTGATGAAAAGCTAGAGATAAAGCTCAAGGAAGATTGTTTTCACCTGCAAACCCTTTGTAGAATGAATGAGATTGGGAGGTACCTCTGAGGATGATCTAGGCCAGGCTCCCTGCTGAAGCAGGGTCAGGTTGCCTACCCTGTCCAGAGACCTCTTCAGTATCTCCAGGAATGGAGATGAACTCTTCRGGCAGCCTGTTCCTGTGCTATTCCTCTTTAAAGATGAACAACCCGGATCTATATAACAAGATCACACTTGCTTGTCTGACTGTCTTGAAAAGAACAACCTTTTGCCCCTACATTTTGATGGCAGTAATATAGTTATTCTGTTTGCATTCCCTACAGTAATGTGTATACTGTCCTCTTATTACTACATCTACTAGCATATTTCTTTGCTTAGTAGATGTTATTAGGAGCGTTGACTTCAATACATTCAACCCTTTAGAAGCCCTCTTGCATAGGAAACTGCCTCTGGGTCTGCAATGCAAACAGTGGGGAGCAGTTGCACTAGGGCAGGTGCCCTCCCACCCATGTCCTGGTACCTCTGCAAAAGGCAGGGTGCTTAGTGAAGGACCTTCAACTCTGGAATTTGCTCTCTTCCCTGGTCCAGTACTGTTAGTCTGCTGATTTCTGGGAGGTTCATGTTTGCTCAGACTTACAGGAGGTGGTTATACTTTTCTGGGACTACAGCATGTTTGGAGTTGTTATCTCCAAAATCACTTTATATCAAGCAATGTAAGTAGCATAAGATGTGTACTGGTACATTTACTTTAAAAAAACTATATTTTAAAAGATATCATACATACAGAAAGCACATCTGSTTATTGGACTAATGGTGCAAAAGGAAATCTGCTCATTTTTTGTCCATCTTTGGTTTGTCACTAATGTAATGGGGTAGTACAGTTTGATTCTTAATGATATTTGTTTTTTGTTTTGGTTTTCTTCCAGTAGTTGTCTTGGACATACTTACAGGAAGTAAGGATTTAAATTCACTGTGGGAAGCCCCACTCTGACTTCGAGTTCTTTGTCATTAAGTCATCCTTCGTGTGACAGATATTTTATTCTAATTGGAATGTTTATCAGCAGTTTACATATTACTAAAATTGCTCAGATCTCCAGGAAAATAGAATTAAATTTTGAGACTTTTAGGTGTTGTTTTAAAAAGCTTGAAAATCTTTTTAGATTTTTATTTCAATTTTTGTTTTTTTTTAAGGTTTCGCAAAATGAACAAGCGTCTGGTTCCCCGAAGGCCACTGAGTGCCTCCTTGGGCCAGCTGAATGAGGTGGGCCTGCCTTCCGGAGCTATCCTCTCAGATGAAGGGGGAGTGGACTTGCCTAATAGGAAAACCTCTGCCCTGCCCAACGGAATTGTGTCAACAGGCAGCACGGTGACACAGCTCATTCCCCGAGGGACTGACTGCAGCTACGAAACAGCTCTGAAGCCAGGGAAGATGGACCACCTGAGCAGCAGTGCCCCTGGATCTCCCCCTGACTTGTACGGGTCCTCCTAACTGTTCTTTGTAGTGTCATGTGTGTAAATGGGCGGTAAAAGCAAAGTAAACCTAGAACTCTAGAAAAGKTCTAAAACCTAAAACTCCAATGGAAACATAGTTGGATTTTTTGTTTTGTCATACCTAAATGGAGTAGAAAACTAAAGCTAAGCTGCCTGACTTCCCTGGCATATTGAGTTGGAGAAGGTGATGCAAGTCTTAAAGTGGATTGTATGGAATGTAGACAAGGAACAGTGCCTTCAATTAGGCACTAATAAAAAAAAAATGCAGGAAATGACATCATAATTTTTTTTGGTAGGTTGGAACCTGTCCCCAAGAGCTCTATTTCTGCCTTACCAGTGAACCCTCATCCTGTGCCCACTCGGACACCAACAGATTTGCCTTCAGTGTCAGTCACCAAACAGTTACAGATGGTACCACGAGGCTCCCAGTTGTATAATACTCAGCAAGCAGATGTGTTTTATCAAGATCCTAGAAGTGCTGTCCCACCATTTGAGCCAGCACCTTATCAGCAAGGTAGGCTTGAGACCAAGCTCTCTATACTGTCTTTGATTCTCATAGTAGTTTCATTCCTTCTTCCCACCTTAGTGTTTCCTTAGGCCCTTATATTAGTGTTTTCCTGCATACTGGTTCGACTGCAGCTGTTCATGAGGTGATTGCCCAATAAAATGGGGAATTGCCATGTAAGGTGTTGGACAGAAACACTTCCGCTTAATGCAGTATAAATATTGCCAGTTAAGGTGAGCTGCCTGCTGTCAGGGTTTTGTATTCATGAGGACTGTCTTCACTTGTGTTAGAGGTTTAACCTATGCAGTGTTGTATATCTGTCCTCTTTAATTCTTTCAAAAAGCAAGCTAGATTAGAGCTCAGGAATGGTAACCCTTAACTCGATTGGGATTGGGCTTTAGATTCGCCTCTTCAGAATTTGCATTGATTAATTTTTCATTAGAAATATCAGTTAAGACAATGGAGACAATAAGTGTGAAGTAATTTATAACGTGGCACCTGTGGACTAGAATGCTTGAAGCTATATTTTTATGAACAGTTGTCCCAATCACTCTCTATATCTTGTTGATTGCTTTGACTCTTGTTTAATTTCAGGAGTTTACTATCCTACTCAGTCTTCGCAGTGCATGTCTCGCTTTGTCCGACCTCCTCCATCAGCTCCTGAACCTGGCCCACCTTATCTAGACCATTACCCACCTTACCTTCAGGACCGTGTGGTGAGCCCACAGTACACGCAGCCGCAGCAGTACCCTCCAATGGGGCAGCCCATTTATCCACCTCACTACGACAGCCGTCGAGTCTATCCCCCTATCCAGCCATATCAGCAAGAGGAGCTTGTCCGAGGAAACCCGGTACCGATTGAAATTCCACAGGCAGCTGTACCCTCCTACATACCTGAATCCAGGGACAGATACCAGCAAATGGAGGGCTATTGCCCCGTGGCTCCACATCTCAGTCAGATCAGACCTCCATGCCACAGAGTACGGATTTCATAATGTGCTTTTGTAGCTCTTGTTATAGAAAATATTAATTAACTTGAGTAAATGGAATGCCTCTGCGGTTAGATGTTGATGCTTTTGTGAACAACTAGATGTATGAGGGGTGGTTTTGTGATTGCCAAATGTAATTCTTGCTAAAGGGACAAGAAGTTCCAAGTGCAAAGTGGAGAGTCACCATAGTGGAAGGGTCAAAATATGTTTAAGTCACCAACTGGAAATGGGTACTGTTAGGCTACCCAGCTATGTAAATAGCTGGTGTCAGATTAAAGGCTATAAATCAAATTGCTAATTCTAGAAAATATCTTTTAATTTTTTTGTTGTTCTGTGGGTTTTTTGGTTTTTTCTTTTAAATTTCACTCTAATTTCATCAGTTTTCAGCTTAACATATTTGTGGTGGGTTTAATTCTTCAGTGAAGTATGCCCACAATAACTGAAACTAGATTAAGATTGAAATTTTACTGCTGTTGTCCTCCTATGACTATAAGATTTGTCATGTTGGAACATGTGCTGTATTTCAGCAGGCCCTTTGCCATTTTRGAACATTTAGTCATGTTGAGCTACCTGTGAATACAAGATTAATGTTTTTAAAGTTAGAAACACTGGAATAGTTTTGGCATCTAATCAATTTGGGGCAATTTTTCTTCCCTGTCTTTGGGGAGGGAATTCTTGAACTGGAGAACTCTGGCTAGAGCAGGAACACTAGTTTGCACTATGAAACAGTTTGTTTTTTAGCTTCAAAGGCTTTGTAACGTATCTTTCTCTTTAATTTCAGCCTCATCCCAGCCTGGATGAACTTCACCGCCGAAGGAAGGAGATCATGGCCCAGCTAGAGGAGAGGAAGGTGATTTCTCCCCCTCCATTTGCTCCTTCACCAACCTTGCCTCATCCTTTCCATTCAGAGGAGGTAAGCATGTTCTGATTGAGATCTGACTGGCTAACATGGCTAGAAAATAGAGTTTGCATATATTGACAGGTAAAGGTGACAAAGTTAGAACAGCAACAGTGGTTACAAATTCTTCAGGGAAGTTTTATGTGCTCTTTACAGAGGAGAAGCACCTATAGTTCAATCTGCAGTCTCTGAAGATGGTGGTTCTCTGACCAGTAGCTGGTCTAAAGCTATCCAGTTTTGGTGTGACCAAATGCTAGCTTAAAACGTTATTAATAGAAATAGTCCATCTTAGTCACTGGGCTTTATTTCACTTACTACTCATATGTTCAGAATTAAGTAACAATGTGGTTGAGCTTTATTTAAGAAAGGTCAAAATAGTACTTTCATACTGGACAAGTGAATAATCACTCTGAGGAGAATAGCCAGATAACGAGAATGCTTTATGCATGCTGTGGTCCAACTCTCAACGTGAGGGATCCAGAAAAAGTAAATTCTCGTCGTATTTTTCTTCAAGTTAGCTGTTGGAACTAAGAATTAATGGCTGTAAAGTTGCTTTTCCCTCTTACAGAACCAGATTTTTGTTTTTGTACAGTATTTGGATGAAGACCTGAAGGTAGCTGGGAAATACAAAGGCAACGACTACAGCCAGTATTCTCCCTGGTCGTGTGACACCATCGGCTCCTACATTGGAACCAAAGATGCGAAACCCAAAGATGTTGTGGCAGCAAGGAGTGTGGAAATGGCGGTACGAGCTCATAAGGGGAACAGAAGAAAAACTCCTCTTTGTGGGGCTTGGTCAGGGCTATGGGTGGTTCTTCAGGATGACAGAATTGTCTGTATTTAAGCCCAAGTGTGCTTCACTGAAGGGGGGGGTGATATTTGCAAGTGTGGGGAGTGTTTTGCTTTTAAACTTACTAATACTCCTGCATTTGTGCAGGTGACTCTCTTCTCTACTTCTTGTTCTTCCACATGCAACTTCTTGCACTGGGACAGGTGCTCACCTGATACAACTACTTAATCATAGGATTTTTTTCTGTCTAGCTTCTCTTATTAGCATGGAGGCTATATTCCCTCTTTTCCCCTGTGTTGTATTGGAATTATATGCAACTGGTTTCTGTCCACTGAAAAGTTTTCAGAGCTCATGAGTAGCTGCATGAAATAAGAGCAAAAAAGGAGGCTTTCTCACAGAAAAAGTGGAGCAAGAAAAGACTGAAGAAGCATTTGACTTGCAGYTTCAGAAAGTGGTTCGATTTTATTCATTTGCTCTCTTCTCTGCACAATATGCTTGCCTTGAGTAATAATATTGTCACAGCCAGCCTGAGGAAATGTTGAGGTTAAATATGGAATTAGGAGTTGTCCAATTGGCACTTGCAGAAGTTTAGGGATCCAGTAGACAAGACTGAAATGTTTTGTGCTAGGAAACTGCATGAAAGAGGTGGTCCTCAATTAGGAAAGGTAATCTGGCATGGAGAAGATGCCTCCCTTGAAGGCAAAGAAAAAACCTTTTTCATTGCTCAACAAAGCAATTGTTCTGCTTTGGAGCTGTGTTTCAGATAAACTGCTGTTATTTGGTTCTTGTCTTTTCCGGGGGGGGGGAGGAGGAAATGTCTGTGCTCTTGGTGAATTTCCTTGTTGTTTAACAGTACCAGAGGAGAAGGTGTCTAGAGTGTCCTAGAGTGTCTCAACCTCAGCGTGCTTAAATTTCTGGAGTTGAGCTTCCGGCTCAACTGTGACTTCTCCTTTCATCCCCTTAGTTCTGCTTAGCTTGTCTATTTTCAGCAATTATTATCTGTACTGAAAACTTGCACAGAATTTTGTTTCAATTTGGACTACACACAAGCTATTATTAAAACTTTAGCCAGTGTTCTTCAGTAACTTTGCTTGCTTCTTTGTCATGCACTGCTCTGTTTGACTCTTACCTTAAAAAAAAAAAAAAGTTATTAAATTCTGCAAGTTTTAGTGTTAAATTTGCTGACAGACAGTGGATAATACAGCTTTCCAAATGAATTTGTTACTGATTACCGGAAGCTATTTATTATTCACTCTTCATCTCTAGAGTATTTTTGTGTGAATATAACAACTGTTCCTCTATTTAGCTCTGAAATACTTTCTATGATGGAGGGCAGAAAGCGAGGGGTGCTGATGGGGGGATACTTTTTTTTAATGGAAACAGCAGTTTGACTCCCCTTTTGAAGTTTCTAATCCTGATGACTTTCTGTAGTAGCTTTCCCATCTTTTAACAAAGCTTCTATTTGTCTTTTGAGAGATGAAAGTCTCTTAGATGGTCTGTTTCTTCTAAGTAAGTTTAAAGCGATTAACGTAGGCTTTCTAACTCAAGTCTCTTTCCTGTGCACCTCTTTGCCTTTATGACTTCTTGGCAAAATGTAGTAACTATAACTTAACAAGTAACAGAGGATTCTTTGAACCGAGATAACATCTCATCTGCTCTTAGGCTAACTACTTAAGCTTTCCAAGTTTGAGATAGAAGTGAAAATGACTTGTCGTGCTGCTTAAAGATCAGACTGTGGAAAGGTGTACTTGATATATGCTATACTAAATTCTCATGTGAGTCATCTGCAGTGGCTAGATGATATAGACTTTGTCTTCTGGGTTTCAGAGGAACTGTCTTTGGATTTTGAAATAGGGAGGTGTTCCTTAGTAATGTCTACTCATATCCTCTTTGACTTTATATCAGAGTTATTCCAACATTTCTGTCCTTCTAATTTGTGCCCTAAGATTTCTTTTTAGCTGCTGCTGCCTTTGCAGCGATTACTCATGCACTATTTCAAGTGGTGCTAGCAGCAGCCATGTCACTGGGGTGGACCAGTAACACTGGAGTTGCTTACCAACTGCAATGCAGGAAGATCAGTTGAAAGATGAAGGGAACAGGGGATACAAGAAATACTATTCCTATTGGTACCAGTTTATCCTAAAAGCATGGCCTTTTTCTTTTCCTCTCTCTCTCCCCTCTCTCTGAGTGATTATTAATGGCCTCTTTCCTCCCTTGTCTAGAATGCAGATAGTAAAGCTATGCGTGACCAGCGATTGGACATGCAGAGAAGAGCAGCAGAGACGGGGGACGATGATCTTATTCCGTTTGGAGACCGACCAACTGTGTCAAGATTTGGGGCTATCTCTCGTACTTCCAAAGCGATGTACCAGAATAGTGGTCCCATGCAGGCCATGGCGGTTCAGGGAGCTTCCACCAAATCTATCATTTCGGGTATGGTACCTACGCCTACAGGTTGCAGCTTCCTCGTTTTTTTGTCTGTGTCCTGTGACGTTATTTTGCTCTGCTAGTTCCTCTGATACAATGCTTTTACTAAATTAACTGTAGTAAAATCCAGACAATTATTGTCTTTACAACTATAAAATAGCAGAACATTGGAACAGAACGTAATGTACTGCACTTGTAGTTTTATAAGTAGTTGCTCCTGCAATTTTAATGCAACCATTGGTTGGTTTTATTGTCAAGGAAAGGCAATAAATTCAAAATAGCTTATTTGTTAACTGTAGTCACATCTCTAGTATAACTGTACATCTTATTGCAAAAGCTCTGTGTGTGTGTGTGCTTTTCTGAGAAATGCTGTAGCAAAACTTAATCTTCGTGCAGGAGAAGTTGTGCATTATGCAATAGGACTGCCTGCACAGGTACTATTTTTGTGTTCTTTATTTTAGTGGAAGAAATGGCAAGGTCCCTTACTCCTGGAGTAAAAATCCTCCTGTTTGTTTTCATGTGCATCCAGTTCTGTGTATTGCTTCAATTTACTTAAAGGATAGTTCTGTAGCATTCCAACATCATTTTTTTGTCTGTTCCCTGACAGATTACAGTCCTTATGGAACGCATGGTAGCTGGGGAGGCGCTCCATACTCTCCTCATCAAAATATACCTTCTCAGGGACGTTTCAATGACAGGTAACAGGAATGTTTGCTGATGTGGGTTTTTGTTATTTTTTTGTTTGTTTTTACTTTCTCTAGTCTTTATTTTTGTCGAATTCTTTCATTATCAAATTTAGTGAAACCTTTTGGAGAAATGCCTTCATCCTATTTGATTTTTGCTTTGATTTACTTTGCTTTTTCTAATCCCAAAGGGAGAGACTGTCAATGTCAGATGTTGCTGGTCATGGGAAGCAGTTACCCTCGGCTGAGCGGGAGCAGCAGCTGCGGATGGAGCTGCAGCAAGTAGACCATCAAATTAGCCAGCAGACACAAATGCGAGGACTAGAGGTTGGTACAAATGTCTTGGAAGAGCAGTGAAAAACAGGGAGAGAGGTGAAGCTAGCAAAGCTGCCTTTTGTGGAGTGATGATTCTGTGAAGTCCTCCATCTGTGTCATGTATGGCTTCGTTGTGCCCATTTCTTCCTAAGTAGTACAGGCCCCAAGAATAAAGCAAGTAGATATTAAATATATTTGGCTTGACTGCCTCAGGAACTGTTCAGTTTATTGCTTTCTCGCAAAGAATCACTGTAATTAGTGAATAGTTGACTACAGCTTCAGTAGAAGCTGCAGAGAGCCTACGTAACAAAGGAGGGATTGTAGTAGATTTGTCATAAGAGTTTACAGTTTTTAAAATGCAACAGCTATTGCAATTTGTGTGCGTTTGCAGTTACTTGAAGCATAGTTTGTGCCCTTGTTTAGGAGCAAGAGGAGAAACTTGTAAATTTTGCATGTTTGCCTTTGCCATAATGGAGGAGTATTGCAAATTTCAAAACCTTTAACTGGCCCACCTCTCCTATTTATTACTGAGGTGGTTGTCAGTGTTAAACCCCAAATAATGGAGTTCTGAATCTTGATTTAGCATCATTTGGATCTGTTAAAGCTAAGCAGTTAATTTGAATATCAGCAGCTTTAAATTTAGCTTCTGTGCTCCAAGACAGAGCTAAATACTCAAAATCCAGGAGGCTTTGCTCACTTAGCAGTTAGTGTTTAGTGCAGTTAGTGTTTAGTGCATAAATCAAAGTTTGAGCATAAGGAATTATAATTTTTTCAACCACATAAAGTGTTTGTACTTGCAGACCAGGCAGCCAATTTTCCTGCAGGGAGAAGCAGATAGTGTATACTCTGTTTAAAGCCGCAACTTGCATATTCTTCCCTGTGGGACCGWTTCCTAGACAATACCAGATTTCTGGAGTAGCTGATGTGGTTACCGCTAAGCCCCTCTCCAAATTTGCTGCTCCCATAACAGATAATTGAAGCACTCGTGCACTAGGTTCTTAAGCTGCCCTGAATTCAGMCTTCTGTATTTTGATGAACTTATGGTTTATGTTAGCTTGCTTTAACACACCAAATGTGTAAACTGAATGACACTGGAGCTGAGCTGACTCCTTATCTCTGTTGCAGGGGCAGTAATCGCAAAGGGAGCTTGAGGCAGATAGAGCCATAAACTTGTTAGCATGCCCTGTTTAATCTGGCGGTGTTGGAGGGTTAATGCTCAGACTTTGGCAACTTGAAAGCAACTTAGTCACTCGAGCCTCTCCGTTCCAGTGCTGCTTGATCTGGGACAGTGGAGAACTGTGTATTGGTGTCTGCATTCTGTACAGTTTAAAATGATACTGGAGTGTATTGCAGAAAATCGATAATATCTACTACTGTAAAATTCCTTTCTAATTTACAGGCAGTAGATTTGCTTATTTGTTGAACAAAAATGTTAATGGTGAATAGCTTACACCCCCAAAAAGTTGTATTTGTTGATGCACTCTGCCTTCCTTTAATTTTGAGGAGGGAAATGTCTATGAGGAAAACTCATACAAATTTCTTGCAGTGAAACATATTTGACCTTGACTACTTAAAGACTTTTGCTTGAATGTAGAAGAAATATTTGCAGTTGCTTTGGAAATGATTTCAATTGGGACCTTGTTAAGCCAAGAAGGTGGCCTTGGTTTTTCAGATCAGCAGTACTCCGCACTTATGGCTTAGTGCCCTTTTCTGTGCTTGGTATTGTGTGCTCAGTTGTGTATGTGCTTGGCTTTATGCATTTAGGCTGTTAGTAACAGGCTGCTGTTGCAGAGGGAGGCGACTACCCTGGCAGGCCAACCACAGCCCCCACCCCCACCTCCCAAGTGGCCTGGGATGATCTCAAGTGAGCAGCTGAGCTTGGAGCTACACCAGGTGGAAAGGGAAATTGGGAAGAGAACCCGTGAGCTGAGCATGGTGAGTGCCATGGGGCTGGGAGGCAGAGAGGTGGAGTGGAGAGCTGCGGAGCTRCTGGCAGCCGTCGCGCCCTTGCAAAAGGCTCTCACTGTGTGACCCCAGCTCGAGGCATCTGTTTCCCTCCTCGCCGCCTTATTCACCAAAACCTCCAGATATTTCTGTAGAAAGACTTTTGAGTTTTAGCTGCTAAGATGCATTGCTATTATTTTTATAGCTCTTTTTTTTTAAAAAAAAGGCAATTTTGAAAACAGAGTTGTTTTCTAGGTCACTGTGAGTTGTGTAAATTGCTTTGATAGAGAAAACACTTTCTCTGGGGGCAGCGTTCTAGTCTGTGTGCTGTTACTGTCTGTGGTCTCTGCTTGTTGTTACAAGAACCGTTGGCTTAACTTCCTTTTGGGAAACACGATATCCTGAGAGAATGAGCATGTCTTACTGAGACTCTTGTCTCATGGCTTTTGTAGGCTGCACTGTGTAATGCTAGTTTACAGACCTTCATCAGTGGTCTCAAAACACAAAGTTTCAAATTCTTAGTACAGTATTGAAGATTTTTTTCTTTTCTCCACAGGAGAGCCAGTCTTCATTGGATATAAAAAACAAACTGGGCGCCACTAAACAGACAGAAAATGGACAATTAGAACCACAAAGCAAGGTTCCAGCTGACGACCTTGCACTGACGTTCAGGTAACATTGGGGAGTTCCTCATGGATCTTGTCATGTTGTTAGACGTATTGGAGAATAACTAAATTGGGGTGGCCCTCTAGCATACGAATAATAACCCTTCACATTTCCTTCTACAGAAGCATTATTTAGGAAAAGATTATGTAAAGCGAGTGTTTATAGTAACATGAATTAAGGGTAATCATAAATTGGGGATCAAAATTCTGAGTTGGGGAAGGAATAAAACTAGGTATTGACTAGAACAGAAGTTATTTGCTAGACCAAAAGTTTATCTAGTTAATGCTGGGTGTTCAGTAAGGAAGAACTGAGGAAATAGAACAAAGGAGAGATGGYTTTCTGCTGTTGTAGCTTCAAAGAAAGCTAACTTTCCAGATGTGAGAGGAAAATTATTCCACCCTGCTAATGACTGATGTGGATGTTGCCTGTGAGGGTATGAAGCTTTGGAGCAAAGTTCATGTTTATTTGTGGCAGTGACTTTTCATCTTGTAGATGTTGGGATGAGTTTAAACTTGCATATGAGAGAGCCAGTTGAAATAAGCTGTTGGCTGGAGAGGCTGGAAATCTGCATGACCACCACTGTAGGATGCCTAAAACATCTGTCAGTATTCTGATTTATTTAACAGGAGGGATCAAATGCTGCAGATGTAAACTTGTCTTAGTGAAGCATAACTTCATGTGAGCAGTTTTGAATCTGGATATTTACCCAGAGAAAACAAGCTGTGAAATATATTCCTGTTAACTGCTTAGGAAGTCTTTATTACCAATTTGTGAGTTTAGCTCTGTTGCATTAGATTGAGGCCTCTGGAAGAGAGACCAGTGCATTTGCAGTTTCCACATGAAACTCGGGAGTAATGAAATAAGCATTTTTAAAGAATCTATTTAAGAAAAATGACGCAGATGTCTTAAGTATTCTAGAATGTGTGCATTGTACTCTAGATTTTTATGGAATATACTGAAATATTTAGTAAAACCTAACTAATCAAAAATGCTAAAACACTGTTTAAATCTTGTTGCTTTTCTTATTTTTATTTCTTTTTGAGAAGCACCTGCAGTATACCAAACAACCTGTTCATTTTACAAGACATATCTTGACCAGTTCACAACTACTTAAGACACTACAGCAACTAATACTCCAGTCTGTCCTTTGTGTAACAAAAATAATGAAAAATACCCACCCACCCACCATTTCTCCTAAATACTGTCTTTCAGCAGTGATGTTCCAAACGGATCAGCCTTGACACAAGAAAACATCAGCCTCCTGTCGAACAAGACCGCGTCTCTGAGCTTGTCGGAGGACCCGGAGGGCGGAGGAGACTGCCACGACTCCCAGAGAGCAGGAGTTACACCCACGTCTGCTCCTTGAAGTGAGGCCAGCCTACCCCAGAGCTTCTTTTGCTGGGGTGCTGTTAGCTTCCACCGTGTCTTTTTCCAGGGCTGATTGAAGAAACCCAGGAGCAACAGCAGTAGCAGAGCAGCAGGTTCAGAGGCAATGTGCACAAACACAACTACTAGAAACAAATCCTGCACATAGTTCACATTAACGCATTTTTTAATTAAAAAAATGAAAATTAGCAGTATCTGCAAGCGATTCAAATTAAATTTGTTTTTGTTCTGTGAATGAACTTTATTTTAATAACTTTGGACGCCTTGGATCCCAGGGCTTAAAAAAAAAAGATATTATATATATACTCTGTTTGATTAATTGTATGATCTTAATGAAGTAGTCTTTTCTTTTATTTTGGTATTATTACATACCCAGTGCATAATTCTTTTTTTAATCATCTTAATTATTCAATGATTAAAGCAGCCTGGCCACTTCCTTGTCTGATGCAAAAGGGAACAAGGAAGGAGGGGTGGAGAGTAGCTGTGAACCATAGCATCAAAAGGTGTGCAGCAAATWTCATTCTCAAAGCAATTTCTTCCTCTTGTGTCTAAGAAATGAACTGTGAGTTGTATATAAATCCTATTACTTAAATAGTTTAAGCTTAAACTGCAAGTAGCAGAATCTTCCGTAGTATAAGTACAGTCCATAGTATATGCCCCAGCACAGCACGTGTGATTAAAACAGATGGCAAACAGTTGTCCAACGTGTGTATGTTACTTCATTTGTAAGTTGCTGACCTATTTTCTATTGGAAATGACTAAGTTGGCAGAGTGGCAACTAMTGTAGATCAAACACGGGTTGTTTAGAAGTTGGTGAGCTGGGACTGGTGGTAGAAAAGCTTAGCAAATCAGCCAAGAATGGGCGGCATGGCAAGGCAAGCTTCAGAAACAGGAAACAGAGAAAACACAAGCAYGTGCAGTTGCTGTAGATGTGCTTGCTGAGCCATGTCATGTTCTGCACTGTTGATTTGTTTTTCCTTTGCCATGCCTTTAAAACAACCTTATCCAAAGTCTGTACGACTGAGCTGATGCAATGGCGCTTACTAAGCTCACTGCCTTTGGAAACAGTTATTTCATGTACGAAAACCCTTGCAACTCTTGCCACAGTTTTTCTTTGTAATTTTTGTTATTAAACCCTAATAATATCTTCTGTAGGTATTTAATGTGATGCTATTGAAGACCTTTGACTAAAGGAAGCGAGGACTCTTGATTTATGGGCATCAGCAGAAGTGCGCTGACAAAAGCAGAGGAGAAAGGGAGGAAATAGAGAAAAAGTTTCCTTTTTGAAACGTGACTGWTTGGGATATGTATTTGTTGGAACTCAGTGCGTCAAACTGCTCTTTTGCAGCACATCTGTCACAGATGCACTGAATCCTTCCTGAAGCCAGTGATTCCCTTTCATGGAGGAAAATTGCATTAAAACTGCTACTTAAGTGGCACATACTGATCTTGGCAGGAGTGGTTAGAAGTACTGAYAGCCAAATTTTGCTTGGTACATCAGATGTGCTGCTGCTTCAATTAGGTGGCTCTATAAGCAAAAGTTACAGAAGCTGTTAAGTATCTCTAGATTTCCTTTCTTAAAAAGTTGAAGATTTTGCTGCTATTTTTTGACTGTTTCTACAAGCCTTGGGTTGAGGCCCTCTAAATGAAGAGATCTGTGGAGATAGACTTCCCCTCCTCTGTCTGCTTTGGAAGTGCTGCTCCTCCTACACCTTCTTGGCCTGTTCTCATTTCTGTATTGACTACTAAATCAGAAAGCACTGGTTATGTAATAAATTACTGCATTGCTTTGGTTGGGTAAAGCAAGAGTTAATAATTTTCTTGGTTTTTAGTTTTTTCTTAACCTTAACTCCTGCTGAGGTCATAGCAACCTTGGGCTAAGCTTTGCATTCATCATACTGTTAAATAAAACAAAATGGGGGGTGGGAGGGGATACAGTCCCACTATTGCCTACCAGTAGGAGAGTCCAAACAGAAGACTCTTTTGAGTAGCAATTATTTAATTTGCCCAGTCAAGGCACCGCGTTTATATAATATTTCACATTGAATTTGATTATGCCCTACAGACCTGGCTGGTCAAGGATTTGATACACATATTGGCTTGGGATTCGAGCTTTCTTTTTTATTTAAATAAAAATTTATATATAAATATATATATACATATATACATAGTTATATCTGTATATATATTGGGTATGTTTTAAGAATTTTTTCGCATGAGCGCAGCTGTTGTGATAAAATGTCTGGGAGGTAGAAGCACTGAATGAAGATAAAGGCATTTTCAGCATGTACCTGCATCCTCCATATGTCTTTGCACAGGTTTATTTCATTTAGTCAAACTTTCGTCTCTGAACTGCCAAGAAGTCATTTTAAAGCTTATTTATTTTCTTTTCCTTTTAATTTTTGGCAGAGAGTCATCTTTGCGCTAGAGTAGCTTCATTTCCACCCCACCCCTTCCATCCATATTTCCTATTTGAGACCTAGCATTTACAGCTGCTCTCCTCCGAGCTGAGAAGAACTAGGCTGATGCAGTTTAGAGCCTGTCAGGTCTGTTCCTCCCTTCCATGTGTAGGGCATGATGATCTTTAGCATGTTCCTGGCAGCATGCTCACAGATGGCCTGACCCAGGACCCCGTGCTGTCTTCCCCCTTCCTTAGGTGCAGAGCACCACCATCAGGTCAGCCTTCTCTTTAGATATTTAGGTCTTTTAGTTTTCCTCTTCCTGCTGTGTCTGTCTTAACATAAAAAGCTCATTTTAGTTGAAATAATTAGTGCAATATTCTACTTCAGGAGGACGAGCCCAGAAATGTGGATGTTCTTGCCTTTCTTTAGGTAAATACAATTTTTGGATACGGTTATGGTAGGTCTGAAACTCTAGGTTTATCTTCAAYGTGAGAAAGGAAATCTAGAGCGGCATAAGATTGCACCTGTGATCTCTTTGGTCAGTTGACGTCCTTTCCAGATGTGAAGTTACTCCCCCTGCCAGGTTTTGCTTCTGGGAGGAGCTCTACCTTAAGAGCTATTCAGATTTCCATTACTGGCCTGTGCATGGTCATGGCTCCCAAAAGCTGTGGGATAAAAAGGAGATGTTGCAGATACTTCTTTTTTTTTCTCTTTATCCAGCTTTCTCTCTGTTGTACTTTGTATATAGTGTCCTTGTGCAGTGCGTCCAGGTGAATGTCCTGTTTGCCCAGTGTTGTAGTTTGGCTTGTTAAATAAGTTTCTGTTTAATATCTACAGAGAATATTGATTTTTTTGCTTTGTTTTTCCCTCCTTCTCTATATATCTTTAGAGGAGTTTAAATTGATTAAACAAGTCAGATAGCAAGCAGACAAGTATTTTTAAGTTTGTGTGGAAGTTGCACCTAAAACTTCCCTTTTTGTGGAAAACTATGCTAGCAGAAGTCAGAGAAGAGGTAGCTCCACAGTGGAGTGGAAGCAGTGATGGCTACAGCAGGTTCCCAGAGAATAAAACTGTCTGGAGAGCCTCTACTGCTTCATTAATTCCTTTCTCCTGTTATTGCCCTGGTTGTACAGGAGTAGCATCTGCTTCAGGGAAACTGGCCTTGGCTGAAAACTGGCTTAGTCCCTTTCAGCTCGAGCAGAAGCGGTGCTGTTAGGGCACTGCTGCATCATTCACTAGGCAGGTGCTACTTCTTAATGCAGTGCACAGCTTGGAGCACCTGCTGACAGCAGAGCTTCAGCCCCAGCACTGGGCAAAASCTAAACATGGGAAGCCCCAACTCATAGTAAGCTAAACTTCAAACAAGCAGTGGTTCAGTGTGGAAATACTTAGTTCTGTTATTTTCCTCCTTGTGGCTCTGTTGTCTCTTCTCAATAGAAGAAATCTAGGCTATCTCTTCCATGCTTTTCTTATGCTTTCATACCCTGTCCCATTGTAGAACAGGACTTTGCTTTTAGCTCTGAGCACTTTTCAGGCTTGCAGCACTGTTATCTATCCCCTTTCTTCTCAGTTTCTTTGTCTGGTTTCTTCAGAGCTGTATTCTTTCCCGCTGGTCCATACCTTCCTTTCTCTCCTTCTGTGGCTTGCCCACTCACCCTCCCTGATCGTGTAACAGTGACAGCTTGCTGCCTCAAAACAGAGCATTCAAATGAATTCGCTTAGCCAATAACTTCTGTGAAGTTGCCTTTTCTAATGGTGTTATTACTCAGTGATGCACAAATGTGATATTGCCCCTACTGGTAGGCAAACGGGGGGATCTGTATAAACATGGTAAACTGCTGTTTTTCTTTAAAGGAGAGCCAAAGACTTGTGCTTTACACTTTCTTTCCCCCCTAGTGTTAGCCGTTCCAATTGTCAAATCTTTGTAGGATTTTGTGAGTTGACTGTATTATTCTAATAGAAATTTACAGAAGTTCATGGTTGTYAAGCCTTATCTGTGCATTGAATGGTGGAAAATCGTTCTGTTTAGTCATAAAACTTGCAATGTATTGAGATGTTTGCTAAAAATGTTTTCATTCTCTTGTGTGGTCTCCCAGCTGATGAAGTGGCTCATTTAGAGAGGGAGAAGGAACTTAGAAATTTATATAATCAAAGAAGCCTGTTGTGTAAGTGTTTAAATTGACTTGAATACTGGTTTAAAATTTCTTCAATWATAGTAAAAGATAAATCTTTGTTGCAAATACGACTCTTGACTTCTAAGCCCATTGGAACTGAAAAGACTTGTCAAACTGTGGCTTTACATTAAATTGGATGTGAAAACACTTGTATGATGATATTGTCTGAAAGCAAGAATCAAGTGAGGCAACTTTTTTATTGGGAAGGACTAGAGGGAGGCTTTCAGTTGATACAACACAGTTGTTTACCGTTTCCAACCTTTGATCTAACATATTCTTGCAGAAAATTATTTTAAAGTTCAATGAGGTCTGCAAAAGTAACGTAAACCATTAGCTTTGTGCCATCTCCATTTATAAGTATGAACAATAAYGAACTAGACTACAGGATAGCTTTCTGAAGAGCCTCTACAAAAGGTATTTAGTTGAGTAGCCATTTTAGACCACTTATATGATCCAAGAAATAGAGGTAAAAATCAGGAGGCTCAACAGCAGGACTGCAAACTCATTATCTCTGCTCAACAAAGGGGAAAAATGGTACTGATAAAAGCAGCATGTGAGTTTGTGTATGATGAAGTATTTATAGTCCTAGAGTAGTCAGAATGAGCGCAGAGGAAGACTGCATGGGGTGTGATTTTTACTTTCATATTCAGATACTGTCCTCTTGGAGTCCCATCTTCAAAACACATGCCTTTATCCCATCTAATGTTGGTAGCTTTTAGGTCACTGCATCAGCGGTGTCATTTTTTTGTAACACAGTGAAGAGATTTCCTTCAGAAAAAAAGGAAGCAAAGTACCTGTGTACCTTTTTTTTTAAAAAAAAGTTGTAATTTAGATGTAAAAACAGAGAAATGTCTGTCTTGATTAAATATAAACTCTGAACTCATGAGGAAAGAGACATAGCTGTTCTGAGCCACCTTTTGCATGTAGTGGGGTGCTAATAAAGAACGATAGGTGTCTGTCACCTGCAGTCATCCCATTGTGGGAGCTAAGACCGATCTTCTGGCACTGATTTGTTCTCAGACTGAATTTCTGAAATGTAGCAACRTAACCAGGCAGTCTTTTTTCCTTTTTTTTTTTCTCCCCACCATTATCGAATGCTTGATTTCTGCTGAAATGTCAGGAAGAAGGAGATCAAAGAGTTGGTGAGTCTTAGTTGCTCAGTGCAGATGAGCTGTTGGGAGAAGAGTTCTCCCAGCACAGTCTCSTTGCGCAGTTAATGTGTCATCTTTATTCTTGTACAGGAAGGACATAACGATTTAATGTTGTCACAGTCTTGGAAGCAGTTCTGGTGATCAAAAAGAGCCTTGATAATACATATACAGCCTTGGAAAAGAAAGGAGAGCAAAGGTAGTTTAACATCAATTTTTAATTTTTATTTTTTCTTCATCTCAATGGCAAGTGTAAGATTATGCCATGGAAACTGAACACTGATAAGGAAGGATGCAGCTTTTTCTGAAATTTCCCCACAGAARCAGTGTGTGGGAATTTGGCTTTGCTGTTATCTTTGATGCATCGGGAGCATCTCAGTTAATTTGAAACTTAAAATATGTGACTATAACAATCAAATTTAGATGCCTGTAGCTTAGTAACTCAAATAATTAGTTGGTCTTTGAGAGGCATGATCTTTGCAATTCCAGTGAGTTTATGTGTGGCTTTAGTGCTAAATGACAGATGTTCAGCATCTGTTTGGGGAGTCTTGCTTCATCCAGCAAAGTTGAGTATCTGTGGATATGCCTGGCTGGACGTTCTTGTGTTCTGGGAAACAAGTGATTATTGGATTTGAAATTTCTAGGAGAACACAATATGACTTCAAGCTTATCTATGGTCCAGGAGAAGACGCAACAACGGGTGAGGCAATTTCTCTGAAAATAAGCATTAGGTATGATGGAATTATATATGAAATGTGAAGGGCAAAAATATATCTGTAAGAAAAAAATATTGTGGGATATATGATGTTTAAGAATTTACTTGCTTCATTGTAATGTTAAATGGATTTGTTTCTGTGACAGTACTCACAAGTCTTTGGCATCCAAACCAGATTGTGTACTGCATGGATCCCACAACTGGACGTGTGCTCTGACCTCTTCATTTCTAGTTGTTTTTTCCATGACGTTTGGCTGCAGCATTTCATACATGTATAAAGTAACCTGAAGCAGAAGAAACCCCTTTAAAACTGTTTGCAACAGATACCTTTAATCTGCAGCCTCTCCTGAGTGGAGCTGCTCCAAAATGGGCAAATACAACACAGCAAATGACTTTTTTTCCAGTTTTAAGGAGTTCCTGTTACCCCTTTGGCCTCTGCTTGCATTTGAAGCAGCCTCTGTGCTCAGAGGAGCTTTTATTGAAGTTGGCTTAGCAGCTGTGCTGTAGCTTGATTGCTTGTTCTGGATTTTCTGTAACTGGTTGCTCAATGTCAGGAGCTCTTTCCCCATCCAATTCATTGCTGTGGGGAGGAAGAGGAGAGGCAAGGCCTGTGCAGGAGGAGGGAGWAAGGAAAATTTGTGGGATTTTCTGTGTGATCACTCCCACACTGCCCCGCCTCTGCTTTGAAATCATCTACTTCCAGTTGTGGGATTTCACTAGGTGTTCCCCCCCCTCCCCTGGTTTTGTAAGCCTRGTTTACTTTGATCTTGTTAGTGTCATACAAGTCTCCCCGAGACATTCTGCAGTCATTATCACCTTTTTGGGTGGAATTTACTTTTTTTTTTTGGTTGGTTTGGTTTTTTAATAACTTTTTAACATTGGTGCATATATGCTTGGGATAGAGCTCATGTAATTTTCCAATCGTATTGATTGTATGTGATTGTGCCCTGCAGAGGTATATTTAACAAAATAAAGCATAAAAAGGATAGTCTAGGTTAATAAAGGAGACCATGAGATTTGTTGAGTCAGGTTATAAACTATTTCTTGAGTTTATTTAGGATTTTGGGTAAGTGAAATTCCTTGTCTGGTGTTTTCATAAATGAATGCTAAACAAAATATCACTATTTCCTTTTGTCTATGGAATTAGTTCTTTTTCTTCTCTTCGCTTTGTTATTCCTTTCCTGCTTCTTTTCCCTGTACTTAAAAAAAAAAAAAAAAAAAAAGCCTTATAGGGATGGCTGATGCTGCATTGGGGTCTTCAATGTAAATAATTATAGCTCATAAGTGGCACAACATTTCTAATGGGCAGAGAGATCAAAGTGTGTGAAAAAGGCCTAAAAGAGCCATCTTTGCAAGGCTAGGGGAGACCCTCAGAGGTACAAAGGCCCTGAGATACCCCTCTTGCAAAGGGCAGGTGCTCCACTGCCCGCTGGAAAAGAGGGCAAAAAGGAGTAGATGAAACTCTGTGTTTCTACTGCTTAGATACATGTTTTCAACTTAGAGAATTCTTGTAGATGTTGTGCTGAAGTGGGAAGGGGAGGACTGAAGGGGGCAAAGGATGGGAGGATCCTAGCATTGGAGAATGTGTCCTTCCTTATTCCCTTTTTAGAGCTACAGAGCCAGAAGCATCACTTTTGTGTCAACCACACAGCAAAAGCCTGCTGTGCATGCAGGATGGTTATATGTAGAGGGGAAAAAAAAAAAGCCATATGTTGAAATGCTGTTCCCACCTCACCCTGCTTTTTCTCTCTTGAAACTCACTTGGTTTTGCCTTGCTTCCACATTGTGTCTAGGGTCCTTTGAGTTGCAGGTTATACAAAACAACAACAAACAAGCTACTTTAACCAATACGAAGGAAGTGATTCACTACTTGGTTTGTAAATAGATGGAAGTGTCTACAAGGTCTTACCTGCTTTTATGTCAGCATTTATATTAAATGATAATATGGAGAACATGTTGAAATCTCTCTCATTTGCTACCTGGGTTGAATGCACCATCTTCCACGTCTTGCATGATGAGAGTCTCAGCTGGAGACCAGGGTGCACATGCTGGAGCCACCGAGGTGCCACCTCCCTCGGCAGGGAAGCCTGATGCCAAGGTGATGCCACCTCCCTCGGCAGGGAAGCCATGTGAAGGTTGGTTTCTCCTCATGTGAAATTTAGCCATTCAGTGGCCAGAAATGTGAGACTGGCCAAACAGCTTCCTACCGGGAAAAAGCAGCTCCAGCAAGAGCTGCAGCCCTGCCCATGGTGCTGCGGGAGCAGCCTCGGCTTGGAGCCAGGCCCGAGGCCCCTTTTGTCCAAATGCTCATGGAGTCATCGCACTTCCAGCTCTCTGTTCCTGCAGGGAGCCTTGAGGTGCTTCGCTGTTACGCAGAGAGATACAGTTGAAGAGAAGCATGGCAGAAATCTGTGTGTCCTCAGTCATGAGTTGTTTTGTTTGTTTTACCCACCAGCTTGAGGGCTGTCAGGCGTTCAGGTTCTCTTGTGGGGAGTTGGTGAGGGTGGAGACGGGGACACAGCGTTTCTGCCAAGTCTTTGGCTTTTGAAGAAAATCTTAGTGTTATGGAGACTATGATCCCTTTGCAAGGAAGTAGTGGCTGTTCTGAGCTGTAACAACTGGGAACCTTATATGATAATGATGATTAATGGGATGGGTGGGAGACTAGGACAGCTGTGGGACAGAGGGGCTATAGATACCTAGGCAGCTTCTCGCAGTTTCCAAGTGCTCCTTTCTTCCCAGCTTCTCCAGGAAAGAGGCAGTTCTGAAGGCTGTGCAAGCATGATGATAGAGCGTAATGGCCAAAGCCACCGGGCACAGAGCACTTGGGCACTTGAGGATTTTGAGCAGCAGCAGGTACCAGTACAAAGCAAGCAAGGACCCATCTGTTCCACTGAGTGGCTTTGGGGAAAACAGCAGTTGCTCTGTGGAAGCAGGGAGGGCAGCTCATAACTGACCTTAAGGCAAGTGTCATTTTGGATGCTTCCTTTGGTGTAGATCTGCTCAGGCAGGAGTGCTATGCCATTAATTGCCACTTAAGTCATTTTTGAGTACAGTATGTTTCAGGTTATAGCTTAAGCAAAAGTTCCCCTTGGCCCTACGTTGAATTTTCAGAATATTTAGAGGGAAGGAAAGGATGGAGGGGAAAAAATAAAATTCTCTGCAATATGGATTCTAGAATTCAACTGTGTGTTAATAGACATTAATTAGGTATTAACCTTTTGTTTTAGTCCAGTGAGAAAGCAATTGCAAAACTGATGTACCCTGTCATGCTGGTAGGAGTTCGTTCACACTGCGTTCAGATACTTGGATGTACAAAATAAGAGATGGTWGCTCTTTTGCCCCGTGTTCAACTGCCTCTAAACCCGGAGAAGTGTAGGCCTGGGCYTGGATGCCTGTCTTCTCTACAGGAAGCCCCAGTTCTGGAGATGCTGGGATCTGCAGGCCCTGCCTTGGAAAACTAAAGTGGCAGCTGCCTGGAGCGCCCTATCAGCTAATGGGCACCAAGTGCTCTCACAGGTTGCGTTTTGCCTCCCACAGGAGTGTTCAAAACACAGGCTCGTAGAGCATGCAACAACCTTGGATGCGTTGGAGGTCTGGCCTGACCAGTATTTTGCAAGCAAATCTGTGGGCAGGCACTTGTGTGTGGCTTTGGAGGGGTTGCTGTAACTCATAGGGGTGGTTTGCTTGGGCCATGATGATGCATGATGAGGGCAAGAAGGTTGTTTCTGCTGGACAGAGGCAGCTCTTCAGGGGGCACCTGTGGCTCTGCAGGGTCCCTGCCAGAGAAAAGCAGGAGGGGTCTTCCTTTGSCCTTCCCTTTCGTGTCTTGCCACAATCTCCATTTGCATTTACCTGCAGTCCGTGCTGGTGCCGGTGCTGTGCCAGAAGAGTCCCAATACTGGTGGTGTTTTCCAGACCCATAAATACCAAAGCGTGGAGGTGTAAAGTATCCACAAATCTTGTTTTTTTTCCTTGAACGCTTGACAGTTTGTTTTCATGGCAGGACTTCTCAGTTTTTTAGGAGCAAGAAACAAAGGCATGCATGGGGTGGGTGGCCAAACTTTCCCTTGTCAGATTGAACTTTAAAACCTCTCTGAAACTAAACATTGCTCTGCTCTTTGCTTAACCTGCTGCAGCCGGTCGTCAGCCTTTGCCCTCGTCGCCCCGCTGCCCTCCCGCCCTGCCTTGCTCTTGCTGGAGCTCTGCAGTGGCGGAGCTGCTCGACGCTGCCCTGGGTGCTCTTGCGCCTAAAGCAAGACCCTCGGTCCTTTAACGACTTGTGTTTCCATTCTGAAAGCAGATCTGAGCCACGAGCACAGGTAAGGAAAACTGTTTCCACTYGTATTTCCTGCCTGAATGCCTTGTCCCAGGCTCGTTTCCCTTTGCAGGAACCTTACAGCTGCCAAACTGCTTTCTTGCCCTGCAGTTGGGATGGAGGAGCCCTTCAAGGGCTCTCCCCAGCCCAGCTCCCGTGGAGGCTGCTTTGGCTGGGATGGCTCATGTGCATGGTTCYGCTATATACCCCCTATAGTGATGCTTCCTGGTATGGGGACTGCTTCCCAAGCTGGATGTCCTGAGTAATTGTGGCTCTCCAGCCTGGCCGCAGCAGGGCAAGAGCAGCCTTACCAGACTGGCTCTGGGGTGGAAGGAGGAGGCCTTGCACCAGCAGACAGCAATGAGGTTTCTCTGGGCTTCCCTGGACCCACCTGGTGGCAGATGGTGCGGCCACCGTGCAGACAAAGCGCAGGCTGTCGTGGAACCGACGCGGGGCCCTCTGGCCTGGCCCTCGCTGGGGTTGCTGCTCTGCTGTGCACCCAGGAAGTGGCGGTGCTGCCTGCTCTGACCTGGCCTTACTGCAGCAGCACATGGGCAACACGAGTCCCGCTTTAGCTCTGATGGGAATGTCACCAACCTGGGCCTTGCTGGGAGGCTGTCAGAGCCGGCCCCAGGCCTTGCTAGGACGTGGTTATTAACAGCAACTTGCCCTCCTTGGGGAATGAGGGCTGTGAATTTGCATCAAGGCACCGTGAAACTTGAATGGGAAGAGCTGGGACACCCAACTATGAGATAGCCTTAGGCAATGCACTCTTGAGGGGGACAGAGACACTGCATAGCTGGTATGGAGGCGTCTTGCATCTCACCCTGTGGTGGTTCCCACCTGAGTAATTTAAGTGGTACAAAGCTGTCAGAGCATGGACAAAGGTCAGAGGAGACCAAGGCTGGGGTGAACAGGATCTCTTAGAGCTCTCCTGTGAAAGCAGGAGACTTTCCTGAGGAAATGAGGAAGGAAATAAGTTGAGAACATTTTGGCAGTGGCTGACTGGGCCGTAGAAGTCAGTTGTACTCGTGCTTCTGTGTGACTTCTACTGAAAGCCGGAGACTCCTGGGGCTCCCTTCAATAAAGTTCAGTAGAAGTTGCACAGAAGCACGAGTACAACTCGCCTGCAGAGTAGGCAGTAGGTGYTTCCAGTAGTTACTGGCCAGGACCCTGTTATGGGCAGGCACAGGAGCCAGGGCGTTTGGCAGTGCTGCTCGAGTGCCTTGCTTCTAAAAACGGTGAGCTGGCCAGTGGCAGCAAGCTCTGCTTGGTGGCTAAGCACAGGGTAATCTCTCTCCTCTTGTTTGCAGGACATGCATCTTTTTGTGGCATGTCTCTTCTGCATCTGGGCCCTGGCCACCCCTCAGCACTACGTTGTGGAAGACATCTGCACCGCAAAGCCCCGCGACATCCCAGTGAATCCCATCTGCATCTATCGCAACCCGGAAAAAAAGCTGCAGGAAGGTGAGGGGCAGGAGGCAGAGAAAGACAAGATCCCTGGGTTCACCAACCCCCGCGTCTGGGAGCTGTCGAGGGCCAACTCGCGCTTTGCTGCCGTCTTCTACAAGTACCTCGCTGACTCCAAGGACAATGGGGAAAACATCTTCATGTCGCCCCTCAGCATCTCCACAGCCTTCGCCATGACCAAGCTTGGTGCCTGTGGTGACACCCTCCAGCAGCTCATGGAGGTTGGTGGCAGTTCCTCAGCCTGTTTTGGTAGCAGTGGCCAAAGTCTGAGAGAGCAGAACTGGCAGTGGCTGAGCACTGTTGCAGGGCTCCCTGGCTCAGGATGAGTTGTCAGGGTTAGTCAGGATTCCTCTCATACGGTTACTAGCCAAAAGGGCACTGGCTGCCACTGTCATATTCCTGACACTTCCCACCTCCAAAGGAAGTAATGTTGGTGTCAGCCAAGGTCATTCACAGTCTGGAGTGAAGTACAGAACAGTGAACCTCATCTCCTGCTCCCTCCCCTAGGCTAATCCATCCCACTGACAACAAGAGTCATATAGGGACAAGAAAAATGGCTCAGCTCCTATGAAGGGCCAGTAACACCCTTTTGCAAGAAACTCTGCCAGAGRTCCCAGATGTTTTTGTGGAGCAACGTACTTGAGGATTTTCTGTGCCTAAAACTCAGAGGTTGGATGGATGTGAGATGATAACTGTCCTTCTGTCAGGCAGCTAGGAAGGGATTAGAAAACAAACTCAACTGTACTGCGCAAGTCTAACCTCAAAAACGGTTGCTACATATTCTCTTTCCTTGTCAATAGAGATAACGTGTACCCGAGTTAGGCTGCAGGCTGACTCATGGGAAGGAACAGTCTGTGGGAGCATTGCAGAAACCAGGTCTCAGGCTGGTGATGTGCTGCTTTTATGGAGGTTTGCTAAAGTGGATAAATGAAGCTCAGGGCCTGTAGACTTCTTATTCCATAAGCTGGTGGATGGAGGGCAAAGGACTTTATCTACGCTTGCTTGGGAGAGCAATCTGGYATGTTGGTAATGAATGTGCAGGTTTAGACCTTAGTGTGGGGCTGCAGAACCATGGGAGTCCTACTCATGGAGTCCTCCGCTGTCTTGGTCCTCTAGGTCTTTCGATTTGACACAATTTCAGAGAAGACTTCTGATCAAATCCACTTCTTCTTTGCCAAGCTGAACTGCCGGCTTTACAAGAAGGCCAACAAATCCTCGGAGCTGATATCAGCCAACCGCCTCTTTGGGGAGAAATCTTTGGTCTTTAATGAAACCTACCAGAACATTAGTGAAATAGTTTATGGAGCTAAACTCTGGCCCTTGAATTTCAAAGTGAGTCTGAACTGCTTGGGCTTTCTGCCTCTTTCCCATGTCCTTCTGCTTTTGTTGCTTCCCCCTCTTTGGCCCGCAGAACATGCTGTAGGCTAGATGTGCAGGACATGAGCACAGGTGGGACTTGGCACACAGCACTTTCTATCCCAGTTTGCCTTAAGTATGGTCACCTTCCAGCTTTTCTCTTCTAAATGCTGCAGCTCTTTGCTGAAAGCCATGTCCTCCCTGGGAACCCATTCAGTTATTCTGTTCCCTACAAGGGGTATGGGGACACACAGAGGAGTTGAAAAGCCTTGACTTGGGGTTTTGGTCTCTTTCTTCAGGAAAAGCCAGAACTCTCCAGGAAGATAATTAATGAGTGGGTGGCTAACAAGACAGAGAGGCGCATTACAGAAGTGATCCCAGAAGGAGGGATCGATGATCTCACTGTCCTGGTTCTGGTCAACACCATTTACTTTAAGGTAAGCTAACAAAACGTAGAAGGCAGCCTGTTTCCTTGGGATGAGTAATGATGTCAATGTCTGCCTGTCTTCCCTCTTTCCTTTAGGGGCACTGGAAATCAAAGTTCCCAGTACCAAACACAAAATTGGATTTATTTCATAAAGCCAATGGTGAGATATGCAAGGTCCCCATTATGTACCAAGAGTCCAAATTCCTCCAYGCCTCCATACCTCAGGATAAAGTGCAGGTGATGGAGCTGCCCTACAAAGGGGACGATATCACCATGGTGCTGGTCCTGCCCGAGGCTGGGACGCCACTGCTGGACGTGGAGCGAGAGTTGACATCGGAGAAGCTGCAGGGCTGGATAGGCTCCTTGACGGAGGTCTCGCTCTCAGTCTTCCTCCCTCGCTTCCGCATTGAGGACAGTTTCAGTGTCAAGGAGAAGCTGAGAAAAATGGGTCTGGAAGATCTCTTCAGCCCAGAAAACGCCCGACTCCCAGGTCAAATGTGGAGATGGGGTGGTGTGGGATGAAGGTYGGGGATGGTTGTTTTTCTATAGGTGCCTGGACACTAAGTGTCACAGCACACAGGGAGAGTGTGAAAGTAGTCAAGTGCTGCTGCAGCAGTAGATGGACTCAGTTCCCTTYGCAACCATGCTGGCTGCACAACACTGTGGCCATGGGAGTTTAGGGATCTACTGCAGTTGGTGGTGGATATCCGTGTTTTAGGACAGGCTGGCTTCCTGCTATGAGGGATGAAAATGTTTTGTCTCTTGAGCTGGTGTCTCAAAACATATTTAAAACTCTCTCCATCTTGTTATTTTGGGCTTTAGGCATTATTGCAGAGGGACGTACAGACCTCTACGTATCTGATGCTTTCCACAAAGCCTTCCTTGAGGTAAGTTTTGTTTTGTCCCAGGACATGTTTTCTTCTTAGCTTTTGTTTTAAAAACAAGTAGTAGTGATAAAAGYAAGCAGCAGGTGCACATGATACTGTACACCTTGGGGTAGTACAGGCTGCATGTGCACAAACACAGTTTGCAGTTGCATCCAGGACAGTTAAGGAGATCCTCTAAAATCTGGAATATTTTAGTATTTAATCTACTTATGTTGTTTGGTTGGCAGGTGAATGAAGAAGGCAGCGAGGCATCAGCTGCTACTGCAGTTACTGTCTCCGGCCGCTCCTTCCCCATGAACAGAATGATCTTCAATGCCAACAGGCCCTTCCTGCTCTTCATCCGGGAAGCTGCCCTCAACACCATTATCTTCATGGGCCGAATAGCAGATCCTTGCTCCTAGGCAGGAGCTCTGCTCCTTCTTTCTCTAGAAAGTGGTAGTAGGGTGTTGTCACAGCACCCAGCTGGTGCCTAATGTGGTTGGGCTCACTGTTTGTTGCAGGTTGTTGGGGTAATTGTACCCAAGTGGCCTGTTTCTGCTGCTGCTGCTGCTCCTTGCTGAGGCAAGTGAGGTGCTGCAGGAAGCTCCCCTGCCCCAGCCTTTATTCAAAGGGAGCTGAATGCTCTCTGGCACCAGTATTTTTGTAGCACCCAAACCTGAGTCCAGCATTGCCATTGGTCTTGTATCCAACCYCTCCTCCCCTTCAGGCCTCAAGCTGTAACACCGATCACCTGGTCTATTAAAATCTGTAGATCTGTATGTAACAAACCAATCTCTGGAGTTTTCTCCTCACTAAGCCATTCCCTGGACCTATTATAACTTCCTTTTTTGAATGAAGGGGTCCTTCTCTGCACTCCCCAATCCCTGTAGAACAATTCTCTGCGCTGTAGAGGCTTGTGGAACAGCGACTGTCAGATGGCAACTGCCAGCTGTGCTGAAAGGAATCTTTGTGTAGTTCTGCACTGCAGAGCTGGCAGGGGGAAGAGCTGCCAGCAATGCTAGTCCTTCTTGTCAGCAGCACTGATGTGGCTGACGTGTTGATTAGTCACTAGCAAAAGCACTTAGCTAAGGCTGTACATCTCCAAGTGGCGCTCTTCAGACTAGTTCCATAGTTAAGTTAATGTACCGGGGGTATCTCTAGACCACAGCAATGCACAACAAAGGTAATGCACAGCTGTAACTGTCCCTGTTGCTCCACAAGTTACTGTGTTCTCCTATATGTAAATGAATACTGTACTCAAATATATTTTACCTATAAGATTACTCATAGAGCTGAAACATGCTGGCCTGCTCCCCCTGTTCACCCTGGGGTAGCTACACTGCTATAGGAAGGATCTCTGACAGAATTGGCTTCAGGATGCAGGGGTGCATGTGGTGAGCATTCTTCTGGGACTTCTGCATTCAGGACAATTGGGTTTTCTTTTTAGTTGTTTTTGTTTGTTTCTTTTCAATGAAAGCAGAGTCCCGTCTGGGTGGTGGTAGTGGTACATGGTAYGGATGTGCTGTGCACAGACAGATGCTACAGTGTCAGTCAATGGCACTCATCGATGAGTGATCTATTCTCCAGCTTTCCTAGGACCAGTAAACGTGTCCTTCTTGGAAAAAAAAGAAACAAATTCACTACCTTCTAGGCAGCGATTACCACAGCAAGTCCAGCAGCAAGGCAGCCAAGTGCAAAGTGCCAGTCTATGGGACAAGTAGCATGAAATGATCTTTTGTCAGCCATGGTCCCATTGCTGTTGTCGGTGGTTTGGGGGCAGGCAGGTGAAGGGGAGTGCAGTTTTCTCTCCCCTTTCCCTGTTCTCTAGCAGGAAGGGCTGAGCAGCCTTCTGTGCTGCAACTGCAGCACAGTTGGGTATGTACACAGCAGCTTTGTTGTATTGAATGCTGTTGTGACCACTTCCCTAAATGCACAAGAAATTTGATGCCGAGGCTCTTGAGTACCACTCCTGCTGACATGCTGGCCTGGAGTTAACACYTCTGAAGAAAGCTGTGTCTATAGAAGATGAAGTTCTGGGAGAAGGAATTGGGGTAGGGAGTCATTTTAGAGATAATTAAGGCTTCAAAAAGCAGCTCTTCTCTTCATCCTCTTCTGTTGCTCACCTCTGATACTGCTGCTTTTCCTGCAGGATAACACTTTCTGCTTGCTTACGGCCTTTTGCAGCTCCAGAAGTGTAGCATCTCCTCCTGTAAAAGCTGTCTTCTCATCTCTACGCCCCCATCTGTGGTTTGGAGGCAGAGGAGGGTGAAAAAGGAAGGGTGAGGAAATGCCAGGACTGCTGGAGGTAGGAGCACACTGAACCCAAATGCTGCATCAGGCAGCCAGGCCAACCCTGCTGCAGCAGCAGGAGGGGGCTGCTTGGCCTGCACTGGGAGGAGGGCAGTTTCTCCATCCGGTGAGACTCAAGGGGGCAGTGGTGGGACAAAACTCATAGAAAAAGAAGGAATGTCATCGATGGTTTAAAGAGGCAGCTTCAGGCAGCCTTGACCCTCCCCTTTTTGAGCTTAGGGTAGTGAAGGGTTGTGCAAAGTGTTGGCCCAGCTGCACCAGCAGAGCAACTGAAAGCCATTGCACCAAGAGAAAGGACGTGAGAGGCAGACAAGGAGCTGAGTATTAAACCATTTAATTCTCAAACCACTCACATGCATAATGTTCTTTTACACAGTGTTAAAAGAAAGAAGAAAATGCGATTTGTTTTTAATACAAACATTTTCAAGTATACATTTATAGAATTTTCAAAGATTCCTAACCGAGTTGCTAAGTTTTCATTCACATTGTTCTTAAAGCTGTCCAACAAGAGCGCTTTTTGCTAAACTCCTTTGAATGCAATTGTACAATCCCCTCTACCTTTGTTTTCTTCCCCCTTTCCCACTGCTGCTCCTTTTACCTTATCATTCCCTGCTCCTCTCCAGCAACGCTGGCCATCACYGTGTGCGGCCAGCCAAAAATGTAGCCTTCCCACAAGCCTGTACCTGCCAGCTCACTGGAGGAGGAAAAGGGAAGAAAGGCTAGAGGTCCAGCTTGGGAACAGCTTATAAAAATCATTTAAGAACAGTCTGTTATCCACAAGTTAGACACAGCAGGATCACACTTCAACCTACTGCAGGCAAAGTGTGAACGCTGACTTTGTTGGAATTTTTTTTTGAGAAATAAGGATTGCAACCAAAAATAAAATAGAAAAAGAAATTAGTACAGCAGGAAATTTCTTAACTGTGAAAAATAAGTCTTGAGTGTTAGGACATGCATCCTAAAACATTTGATTTGCGAGTCAACAGTAGGAGGTGACAGCACAATTTTTGTTATACAGGGTTACTCTGTAAACCAGCCCAGAACAGAGTCAGTATGGGACAGAGAAAACCTTGTTTTTATTTCTTTATTTTTTCTTTAGTTTGTTTATTTTTAATACTGAACTGACTGGGGCTCTGTAGCCACTGTGTGGGAAACCCCGCACCGAGCAGCACGGGCCCGGAGGCTCCGCTCGGCAGCCTCAGCCCAGCCCGCCGCAGGGCCGCGGGTGCTGCTTTGACCTGTTTCAACTGGGGAGCCGATATCGTTGCCAGGCACGGGCGCCGCTGGCCGTAGTGTGGGGGGCGGCGGGGGGCGGGAGGCCGCGGCCGGCGGGCGCCACCAGCCCCAGACCTCCCCACAGCCCCCCGGGCACGGCTGTCCCCAAAGCCAGCAACAGCCCTACTCAGCTTATGATTTAAAGTGCATTTCTTCAGTAAAGGTTTTATTTTTTTTTGTTATTTTTTTCTTTTTTTTTTTCTTTTTAAGAGGAACCTATTTAAAGTGCTGTTCTAGTTTGGAAAGGGATTCTGTTTACAAAAAAAAAAAAAAAACAAAACAAAACATGGCACCTTTTCACAAGACAGATCTGGCCCCTGTGTGTGTGCTAATATCTATATTTATACCTTTATACTTATATAAATGTATAAATACATATGTATTCAGAGTCAGATCTGCTGACAAATGACTGACACAATTTTTTTGTTGTGTATTGTTATTGCTTTTTGCTGCTGCCTGCGCTCTCGGAGGCAGAAGGGAGCCCGGTTTCCCCTCGCCCTCCCCAGCTGCCCACCGAACCCCCCSGTGGGAAGTTCAGCCTCGGTTTCCCAGCTCCAACCGCAGGACGGGACAGTTGGAGAYGAGGCGGCGCAGGGGCAAAGGCGGCTCCCAGGAAAGCGGGGTGGCGGGTGAAGATCCCCCCACTCCCCATGGATGCCACTTCCATAGAGTCGCTTTACAGAGCAGACCTGCATTTCTCAAACACCGAGGTAAGGAGAAACAAACCTGTTTAAAGTGAAAGCTTTGCTGATAGAGTGTGTAGCATGGTCACCTCAGCACTCCCAGAGAGAGAGGTAGTTACTGTCCCAGGAATTTTCTGCTGTTCCTGCAACTCGCTTTCTGGAGYGAGTGCTCAAAAAAAGAAAGGAAAAATCCTGTGCTCTTTATTAAAGAAAGTCATCCTWGTTAAATCTTTTGAAGATGTACTTGACTATTCCCTCTAAGAGGGTTTAATATTTTAGAAATTGATTGTCAGTTTAGTTTCTTACAAAATCAAATTCAATTATCAAATGACTTTACGAAGCCACTCGGGTGGCTCAGCACGTCCAGCCGCCATCCTGGCCGGGGCTCGGCCGCCCCTGCGCGCTTGCAGTGTCCCCACACGAGCACTGAGGATGGCGTGCACGCTCTGAGCAATTCTTATGGAAACATTGAACAAAAAAAAAAAAAAGAAAAAAGAAAAAAGAAAAAGCGCTATTTGTGTCATTCACAGTGTCATACAGGGAAAATAGGGGTGAAGCCGGGGAAAGGAGGCCTGCCTGTCAGCCACGCTGGGCACGAGCACCGGAGCGCCCTGCGTTTGCTCCGCTCGGGAGGGGGAAGTCGCAGCCCCACGTTGCGGGCGGGAGGCAGCTCCAGCCGGAGTSGCGGAGCGGCGCCTTCCCCGACGCTCCGCGCCCCGCGCGCTCCGTTACCCCTCACATGCAGCCAACACAAAAGCTTCACAGTAATCCGGGGAGTTGCTTCAGACGTGTAAACTCTTAAGAAAACGGTGCCGTGGGAGCCCAGAGTCCCAAGCCCAGCCCGTGCCCTAGACGGTGAGAAACAAGGGACCCTGACCCAAACTCTGGGGCTTGGGATGCCACTTTCAAAGGGGAGCAGATGGGAAACAGTGGAGCGACCCACTCTGCTTACAACTCATCCCCCAGAAGCTCCCTATCCAGAGCTTCAGGGCTCCTCCCTGCCCCTCCACTGCCTGCACTGAGTAATTTCAACTCTCTTTTTCTCCCTCCCCCTTCTTATGCTGTTAGTTTCTGTATTTTACAACCAGTAGTAAAAGTAACCAACATAGCATCATTTTTAGTTTCTAATTAGTTTCACAGTTTCTTGGGCCACAGCCAATGGTATTGGGTCTGACTGCAAATACATGAGGAAGATTTAAATAAATAAGGTTTGCTGCAACATCAAAATAATGACGATATTTAACCAGAGGTCTGAGGGGAAGAGGGTTAAGTACATTTACAAAATGTAAGTAAAGCTAGAGGCTTGAAGTGAGTGACAGTCCGGGAAAAAAAAAATGCACTGATTTCTTATGTATGGCCTTAGACATGCAGAAAAAATAATATATCAAATTAGAATATGTCAGATTAAACATGGGAGTTACACAGCAGTATTAAGGAGATACCTGAATATGTTTCAAAAGCTTAATTGATATGAACTAGGAAGCCTATTACAGCTGCCTGTTTTTATGTGATAATCCTAA